AACTATTTGGTATACCCCCCAGTTTGCGCAATAATTGATGCCTATTATTATTCTTGAATATTTATAAGAGATCCCTTAGTGTAAAAATAAGTTCGGTGTTATTACGGTTGATATGTTTTGTGATTTGTTATCGTCGTCGGCGTATGTTGTCGTTGTTCACCTTACATTCTGCAAATTGACCTACGTGTAATTTGGTGTGTTGATTAGTTCGCTTCTATGGTGTTGAGGGGAATAAGTGGGACTCCCTATACCATCCATGTATACTTGGCCTTCAGAGAGTTCAAGATCATGTCAATTTGTAGTTAAGTGAGAGACCAGCTTTCACGAAAAAAGTGTGGAAGTCTCCTCTTGTATTACAAAACCTGAAATATTCAAATGATACAATTAATGGTATTATTTAAGTTATAACATTTAGAAACGAAAAAAAAAACCTTGAATGTTGGTAAGCGCTATATATTAAAAAGACAGTTTTGGACAGACGGAACACATTACTGTATCACTCCGCAACCTTGTCCCGATAAGATCGTGTAATCCTTGTATTCAGTTGTCACCTTGACCCGACAAATGACCGTTTGTTAGATTTTCAAATATTTATATACTTCAAAGTATTTTATTGATCTGTTTATCTGTAATTTAAAAACTGCCCTGTTGATAAACACAGAATGAAGATTGTCTATGGTCAACATTCATTAGTTACAAACCAATTACTGTTTTCCAATTAATTCATATTAAGGTCCAAAGGGTCCAAAATTAAACTTTATTCGATTTCAATAAACATTGAATTCTTGGGGTTCTTTGATATGCTGAATCGAACCGTGTATTTAGATTTTGGATTTTGGGCCCCGTTATCAAATTGGTCACATTGAGATCCAAATGGTCTAAAATTAACTTTGGTTGATTTCATCAAAAATTGAATTCTTGGGGTTCTTTGATCGGCTAATCCAACCACAGCATGTATTTAGATTTTGGATATTGGACCATAATAAGCAAATGTCCAATTTCAAATTTTTTAAGTACTTAGACCACATTCATTCTGTATCAGAAACTATGTTATGTCAAATATTTTTAATCGGAATCCAAATTCAAAAATGTATGCAAAATTAATAGAAATTGTATGTTGAGTCATAGTTACAAATAGATACAGCATCATATCTTATTTTAGAGAAGAAATAATGTATTGATAAAATTTGAAATTTTCTGTTCATTATTAGATATTTTGAAAAATTAGAGGTAAGGTTTATGGATTTTTTTAAGACTTTGTATTAATGAGGAATGATGTTTTAGAAATTGTTTTTTTTTTTCATTTTTTTTTTCATTTTTTTGAAGAATTGTGTGGTAGGTTTGTTTGTTATTCTGTATAAATTAATTTTCAGAGTGCTATATATATACTTTTTTTTTATGAAGCAACCCATTAAAAAACTTGGCTATTATTGTACTGTCAAATTATTAATAAATAATTTGATTTCTTGGTGAACTTGGATATGCTGAATCTAACCGTGTATTTAGATTTTGGATATTAGACCATAGTAGGTACAAGTCCAATTTCAAATTTTTCAGCTCTATGTCCACATTCATTCTGTGTCGGAAACCTATGCTGTGTCAAATATTTAATAACAATCTAAATTCAGAGCTGTATCAAGCTTGAATGTATTATGTAGTGTCCATACTTGCCCCAACTGTTCAGGGTTCGACCTCTGCAGTCGTATCAAGCTGTGCTTGGAGAAGCATTTTATTCCTATTATTTTGAAAACTTTGATAAGTAGATAGAAACTTTTATAGCATTAATGATTTACGAATAAGTCAACATTGTTGAAATTGTCAGTTGACTCCTTGTAGGAATTCTTAATCTTAAATGATGATTTTTACCCTTTTTGTGTTTTGGGCAAAAACAAAGATTGAGAGAAATTAAACAGAAAAATTATCAGCCAACAAGATCAAAAACAAAATGTATTCCTGAATTATATTCTAGTGTTGGAGAGTCCGTTGTTGGAAGATGTGCATAGACCTGTCACCAAGTTGAGCAACACAAGCTCTTTAGAGCCTCTAGTTTGGCAAATTTCGTAGTTTTTCGAAATCATCTTGAAAACTATTAACAAATAGAAAAGTGTTTTAATGGCAAAAATGGCAATTGACCCCTTATAGGAGTTTGAATGATGATTTTACCCTTTTTAGCTTAACTGGTCCAAAAAGGGCAATTTGAGCTTTTGCCATCACTTTGCATCTATCGACCTACAAGGCTGCCATGTCTAAAAATAAAACAAGGGACAAGCTACAGTTTTGGATAATAACTATATAACTAAAGCATTTGAAGAAAAAATGATATGGGTAAAAAAAGGTCAGCATAATAAGTTCTATCTAACCTGAAAATTTAGGAAACATCTGTCCACCTGTTAGAGTAATTGCCAGTGAAATGATGATATTTAAATTTTTTTGGCATTTCCCTACCATTGTTTTAAAAACTATAGGAGATAGATTAACAGTGTAAATTGCAAAACTGATGCATGAAAAGATGTACATGTATGTGTTACAGTAAATGTGTATAATTAGGGATTATGTGTAATCCCTGAAATTTTCAGGCATTATGTATAATCACTGGCTAGTTTAGTGATTATAGATATCCACTAAAATTTTCAGGAATTCTGAATAATCATAAGAAGAAATGGCCGGGATTATACATAATACCTGGAAAGTAGAGACGGTGAATAACTTGGATAATTTATTTTATAAAATCATTTTTAAACATCTTTAGAAGTATGAATATTAAAATGTTAAGTACAATACTCTGATATAAATCATTTATTTTTACAAACTGCATTGTAAATTTGGATGACATCTACTATTGCAGATTTACCAATCAACACTTTTCATGCTCTGCTTTCTATTTTTTTTCTCCATCAACTTCCACTTTGTCCTTCATATACTGACTGAATTTGATTTTACCTCACGTTGAAGAGGGGGGGAAATGTTCAATAGAAACATCTGAAGGTACCACAAAAGTGAATCAGCCACCTCAAATTGGTTTCTAGTGTAGGATCCAAGCAAAATTCTGTTTCGTAGCCAGGCAATATCCTCTTCAGACTGTTCATGAACAATGTCCATTATAGTTTTTGGTCTTCCTTTTCGCGATCAATATGCTGAATTGGCATCAAAACTTAACAGCCAATTTTTCTACATAATCCCTGATTATACAGATTCACTGTAACATATGCACCCTGAAAATTGGGGGAAAATCTAACCACTCATTTTGAAGTAATTGCCCCTGAAATGTTGCCCCCCCCTTATTTAGCAGTTGTTGGCTGTAATCGTCAACACTGTAGGAGCAAGGTTAAAATAAGGTATTGATAGCAAAAAGGACCAGCACGACAAAATGTATCTACCCTGAAAAGTGTCCTATCCTTTTGTCATCGTTCTGAACAATAAAATATGTTTAAATTAACCTATCCTGAATATTGGAGAAAAGTCTGTCAACCTGTTTTGCCGTTGTGACCTAAAAGATGAAGTTTTTGCAGTCTTGGGCTGTCAGCCTGAAAAAAGGGTGCTAGGTTAAATGTGTAATCGCAAAAAGTAAATAGCAAAACGAGATATATTAAGTTAACAATCTGTCAATCTGTTTTGAGCTATTTCCCCTGAAATATACATTTGTTCATTTCTCTGCATTTGTTCGCTGTTATTTTGAAACTTTGGGAGCTAGGTTAAAAGTGTAAACTGCAGTGTTTGATACAATACATATCCACTCTGAAAATTTGTCAACCCATTCTGGAGTTATTGCCCATGAAATGTTGATTTTTACTGTTTCTTGCAGTTTTGGCTGTTATTAAAAAAAGGAGCCAAGTTAAACGTGTAAATTGCAAAAAAGATCAGCAACACAAAGAGTAAATATAGTATGTGCATATGAAAGTCCTAATTATCAAAAATGTGAGCGATATGGGCACAGTTGTGCCTCTTGTTTTTATTTTTGCAGAAACTATGATAAATGGAGAGAATCTTACAATAGTAAAAATGTGAAGCAAAATAAGATCTACATATATGTCAACATAGAAGTAATCGTCTATGGACCCCTTATAGAAGTTGTTGTCCTTAAAAGATCTACTCTGTTTCAAAATAGTTTTAAAAGACTGTTATAAATTGATAATATATATATAGGTCAACATGGCCGAAATTGTCAACCGACTCCTTACAAGAAAAAGCATCTGGTGAAAAAAAGCTCCAATGATACGCGTACTCTCACAAAACGAACTTAAAACATAAATTGTATCACACTCTTTGAAAATATTATTAATTAACTATTTGGTATTTTCCCCAGTTTGCGCAATAATTGATGCCTATTATTATTCTTGAATATTTATAAGAGATCCCTTAGTGTAAAAATGAGTTCATTGTTATTACGGTTGATATGTTTGTGATTTGTTATCGTCGTCGGCGTCTGTAGTCGTTGTTCATTATACATTCTGCAAATTGACCTACGTATAATTTGTTGTGTTGATTAGTTCGCTTCTATGGTGATGAAGGGAATAAGTGGGACTCCCTATACCATCCATGTATACTTGGCCTTCAGAGAGTTCAAGATCATGTCAATTTGTAGTTAAGTGAGAGACCAGCTTTCACGAAAAAAGTATGGAAGTCTCCTCTTGTATTACAAAACCTGAAATATTCAAATGATACAATTAATGGTATTATTTAAGTAATAACATTCAGAAACGAGAAAAAAAAACCTTGAATGTTGGTAAGCGCTATATATATATTTTGGACAGACGGAAAACATTACTGTATCACTCCGCAACCTTGTCGCGATAAGATCGTGTAATCCTTGTGTCCAGGAGTCACCTTGACCCGACAAATGACCGTTTGTTAGATTTTCAAATATTTATTTACTTCAAAGTATTTTATTAATCTGTTTATCTGTAATTTAAAAACTGCCTTGTTGATAAAGTTTATCTGTAATTTAAAAACTGCCTTGTTGATAAAGTTTATCTGTAATTTAAAAACTGCCTTGTTGATAAACACAGAATGAAGATTGTCTATGGTCAACATTCATTAGTTACAAACCACCCACCGACAAACTAAAGTTGAGGTAAGTTAGTATTTTCACACTTACTGTAGTTATTCCATAATAGGTTAAGAATAAAACAGGCAAAGCAAATATATCCCAATACACATTAACATAAAAAAGATGTGAATGAGAATTAACAATCATTAACGATCATTCTTTGAGAAAAATTTAATGATTTTATCGAAATTCCAGCGAATTTTTTTGTATGCCTTGAAATTTTTCATTCATTCGGTCTTTTTTTCTTTAAATCATGGCCCTTCTTTACTATACTTTGATTTATTTTTGCGATAATGCTTTTTTTATATTTTTTTCAGTTTCTCAAGCTTGCAAATATTTAACTAGGTATATTTATTTTACTTAAGCAATAAATATTTCACCTCTTTAAGCTATATATTCTTGTGAAAATTTTGCATCTAAAATGATTTTACTCGATAATTCTCATTTATCCTCTGCTTTAGAAATGGCAAATATAACTAGTTTATTGAAAGGAAGGGATGTTGTGGATTTATTCCTAGCACAAAGCTCCTGCATGCACTTAACAAAATCAATGAATAATATTTTTTTTTTTTGCTTTATTTTAACTTCAAAGTTAATGTGAAGTCTTCAAACTCAACCTCATTGCAAGTTGAAGATAGCTGCACACCCAGCTACGATTTGAGAGGTATTCATGGTTGCATTGAAGCATCAGATGCGGGATGAAACCAACAAATAACAAACCATAATGGGTAACGGAATTCATAAATTGCCGTACTATCTAAATGTAAAATATAGAAACAATACAAACATTTAGAAAAACAAATGGATGGTCCCGATATGTGTTAAAATGATTGGAAAGAAATAATACATGAACGATGCATATAATTGGAATGGAATGCAATTTCGATAAACACACCTTTTAAAAAACTCTGCACAAAAATATTTTGAACCAAGCATGTCACCAATTTACAATAAACCAGCTATATAATCTGAAAAGTGGATATCTCAGCTTATAAAATAATTCTCGACTATTTTGATAAGAGCAAAATATTCTAACGGCGAAGATAACGAATATTTATCACCTGTTATTCTATTTCACAAAGGGCTGCATCCAACTGAATGATGGATATAGTCAGTTCGTATAATGAGTGGGATCCTCTTGAAGAAGTCATTCTTGGAATCCCAGATTACGCATGTATACCACAAGATGAACCTGCTTATAGAAGTAAACTGGATGCTGCAGATTTAAATACATTTACGTAAGTATTACTGCATATCATTATATATGTCTGAAAGATCAACTTTATATCATTATTTATACTGCACTCGTTCTATTTGAGCAGTCAAAATGCGTTGACTGTATATTGCTATGTCATATACAGTCACTGACCAGATATCACTTTTCCTCATGAATATTTAAATAGAAAGTTGCCGAAACTATATTTAATTATTCATACGACCTCTTCAACCTGTTCTCGTTTCCAATGTATATAATGAAGCGTGGAACGACCCAAACTTATTTCTTTTACAATTTTTGGAAAAACATATTTCACTTGTTAATATTTTTTGTTTGAAACCTATAAATCATTCTGTTTTATGCTTATTGTTGATATTTTAGTCCATACTCAAACGAATTCGTTCACCATTGATTGCGGGTTTCAACAGGTAATGTACATTTCATTGCGTTGTCTATTTCTCCGCCTGATACCGGTATAAGGTCTTTTTAAAGGGGGATGTTTCCAATATTTAAATCAAATAAATAACATTTACACATTGAACAACAATTGAAAATGTTTTTTTTTTCTAGATTGCAGTATAAAGACAATAATTTTCATCAATGTAAAAGATGATATCCCTTTTTCTGATTAGGTCAATTTTTAAAAAAAAATCTTTGTAAGTATTACCTGAACATAGATAACGTTCACCAAAGGAGCAACTGCATTGATAAAGGGAAAGGAAAACTATTTTTTTTTTGTAAAAGAGAAGATATGACGTCTTTTTTGCCTATAAATTCGAAAATCAAAAAGTTTATATATCTTTATTGCAAAATTACACACAAACAAAGCTCGAGCAATAACAAATAAAATACATACATGTACAAGAATACAACAAACGAACTTTTTAACTAAAAACACAAATGTAGGATAATATTTACTACAATATACTAGTTTGATTACCATGAACCTGTCTGACTGGGATCTCACGCTCTCAGATCTTAAGACTGTTTAATAATTTATAAATTTATCAATTAAGATCCTTCAAATTTTGACAAAACCTTAGTCTGTTAGATATCCGCATCAAATTTTAGAATTTTGTGTTACATATAGACCTTTAAACGTCAAGAAGTGCATTTAAAGCAAACCTGCAAAAACTACTAAATAAGCCTTAATTTGAGATCTTGTTTTTTATTATTTGATATGAACCCGCAGGCACTTGTCTCTGAAAATATTAAGGTATAAAGGATTTTTTTTTCAGAAACAAGTGCCTGTGTATGGACCACAAAAAAAAGATATTTTGCTTCGAGATGTTTTAATCAAAGATGATAATGAGGGTAACATGTCCAATTTTACACACAAACAAATTAAGTAAAATGGCTATCTTAGGTCAAATGTGTCAATTCTGACATGATTTTAACAATAAAATCATTGCGACATCACAAGGTGACGTTAGATTTACATTTAATTTAAACTTCAATGATGAAATCCTCATTGACAGAATAAATAATTGAAACGATGATTACAAAACATTTCAAAATCTGCCATGTACTTTTGTTTTCAATATCTATTTCAGAGCCGGTCTGAGGAAGGATGAAACCATACAAAAAGCAAGGGTTCAGTTTGATAATCTTGCCAGAATTTTAGAATATCAGTGTAATGTGAAGCTCTTACGCCCAGAAAAGATTGATTTCAGCGAATCAATTAAAACACCATTTTTTGAAATTGAAAATCAAAACTGTGCGGCTTGTCCACGTGACACATTGTTAGTTATTGGTAACGAAATTATTGAAACACCCATGAGTAATAGAGCCAGATACTTCGAGTCGATGGCATACAGGTATTTAGATTTTTTCGTGGGTTAGACAATTAGACATTTGTGTATAAGTATATAAGTTTATACAACTCGATAATACATATCAATAAATACTTGATTGTGATTGGTCAGTTATAATTTCCCCTTGGTTTTACACTTCAAAAGACAATCTAATCGAAACTACTTTGGTAACCTATGCTAAAAATATGTCGTTTTTACTGTGATATGATCACGCACGATAAACATAAATAAAATCCTGGGATTGAAAAAAATAATATCTGTTTGGGTTGAGAATTATAAGGATCAAACACATTTATTGAATTTATGGCATGCTCAGATATTGAAGATTTTTATCTTATCAAATCGTCTTGTAATACTAAGAAGAAAAAAGATAACTACAAGAACTGTCAAAAGGTTCATATGAACAAAATCATATTCACTTAAAAATAAAATCAATTGTAATAATGAAGAAATTTCACTACTTTTTCTTTCAATTCAGAAGCTATTTCAGAAGACAATTAATGGCTTTTAGCATAACCCTCCTTTCTGAAAAAACTTGTGCTATTTTTCTCAAGATAATTAGTTGACAATAACCGGTCGTAAATTGTAGAAGACAGGCCACATATTACATAGACAGATATACAGTTATTCATAAAACAATAAACTGGCAACTATAGTTGAGCACCACTACCCCCCCCCCCCCTCCCCCAAAAAAAACAAAACAAAAAAACAAACTAGGAATGAAGTCGTTTGGTGGTTTGTATCGGTAAGCAGACTCTTATACCGTATTAGCATCCGCCCAATTACTCGTTATGAAAAAGCTACGAAATAGAAAAGATGTTTATTTGATTGTTGGCTTCTTAACGCCATGGAACAAGAAAATGGCTTTCGATTATACATTGCAGTTTCAAATTTTTTTAGAATAAGAAGATTAACACACCTCAATTGAGGTTGAATAAGAAATCTATTTTAATAAGTATTTCGTAGTGATTCATATTGAATAAATGTTAGTTTTTAAAGATTGTTAACAGACAGCAAGAAAAAAATGCAGACTGTATACACAGTCAATCGATAAACACTGAAATTATTCAGAACATACTCAAAGTTCTAGGTGTGATAACGCAAATTAAAACAAACGTTTAATGTAGTCAAAGGTTGTTTTCGACACGAAATCGTAAGCCTCCCCTGTGGTTTCTTCATTCTAGTTATAAATGACAATAACTCTAAAAACAGTATCCAATCAACACAAAAGTTCACATGTTATGAAGCGTTTATTTAACATCATTCCAATCAATTCAATGCAACATGTAGGAGATATCAAATTGCTTTTATAAGCTTCACCATATCCAGGAGTGGTAAGTTCCATTATAGGGTATTGGCGACATACAACTTAAATATAACAACATACAAGTTTAACCTTTCCAAAAAAGGGTATTGAATGCTTCGCAGTATCGCAAGTTAACTCCATCATTTGTTTTTTATTTGTTTTTGTAATTTTTTTTAGAGAAAACGGCAGTTTTTTTACATCTTTTATCAGAAGTATTTATCATTTTTTGTTTCGGGTAATTTTATTTTTGGTTTCAGTTTCATTATTATATGACAAATCCGATACAATCCTTTATTTTACTATTTATACTAAAATTAAGTTATATTTTAGTATGGATAGTAAATAAGGGATTGGATTGGATTGTATCAGAGTTGAAAAAAAATCACCCAAAACAAGTAAACAGATTTAAGAAAAGGAAATGCGTACTAATTAATGTATAAATTCTGTCAATCAGCGCTTATCCAACAATATGTGATCCGAACCTATATAACAACTTAGTCGTCGGTCGGGTCTCGAATACCCTTACTGTCAGACCATCTGTATATAATTTCTTTTCCCTTTTCTGACGTGTTCCCACTTTAAAACTCATTTAAGCCAATATAATCTTAACCAAAAATATAAACAACAAATCATAAATAAGAGTTAGTAATAATTTCAAGATGGCATGTCTATCGACTGAAACTAATAGCTTTGCACCGTGATGCGAAGCAAAAACTAAATAAAAAAGAGATGAATCACTATAAATTTTGTCAAGTTTGGTTCCATTTAAATTTTAGATTGAAGAAGATTCTGTGCTAACAAAATTCTCATAGTTTCTATAGTTTGCCATGATTATCCATCTGATAAAAACATGAAATTGGAGGTTTTAAATATGGGAGATCTTGTGTTAATAAATATCATGAGGACAGTCGAACTGACAAACTCAAAGACGGGCAAAAGTGGGAGAGACATAGTGTAATACTTAAAGCTGGACTGTATATTATTTGTTCGACCTAAATCATAAAAATGTTTCTTATTCCAATGATAACAGGAAGATTCTGAATGACATATGGGAAAAAGATAAAAATATGTTATGGACGAATGCTCCTAAACCAACTATGGCAGACTCTATGTACAACTTAGATTTTCCTTGGGATGACAAATCACAGGAAAGAAAAGACTGGATTGGGAGCTTTAAATACGTTACAAATGAAACGGAACCAGTAAGTTTGTATATATTGGTTAGTAATTATATTACGAATTGTTGTACCAAATAAGATTGGAATATAAAGGTTGTTGATGTGAATCTTGATTTATGAACTTTGAGAATGATTCAGGTTGACAAGAACCTATGTCTAAAGACAAAACTTTAAACAGCTCTCGTTACCCAAGCAAAGAAGTAAATGCACAAGATTGTACGCAATTCATAGAGCCTATTGTATATATTTGTATTATGCTAATATCATCGTTGACATGTGTGGCCAATATATATATACTTAAGAGTTAGAAAGTTATAAAATTCGGGTTCTACCTTCGTTTTTAGGCACGCATTCACCATAAAAAGAAATTTTATTCTTCAACAAAATTTCACCTTTAAATGAACAAATGAAAACAACAATAACTTACCATTTACTAGTATAAATATCCAGTAAGGGAAACAATAAACTTTTGAGCGACTTTTTGGCACAACAGTAGACCAATTAAGATGGTTCCAGTTAAAGTACAAATCATAAAATATGTGAGAGGGAAGCATCGGATAAAATAGTTCCATATTTTGATGAAGAATATTATTTTCTGAACAAAGACTGGCCTTTTTTTATATGTCTAAATACTTTTCCATTTATTCACTTATTCTATTATACATTTTTTGGAGAACAAAAAAAATTAAAAAAAAAAAACTGTCAAAGCCTTCTGCTATCAGATGTTTTAAAATTTGTCTAACTACTTAAGAGTACTGGGACATCATTGATCGAGACGGAGTAATTGGTGGTTGATAAAAAGAGAGAGTATAAAGGCTGGATTTTCAGTATATTTATATTGATGCAACTTTGATACGTATATCGACTGTCTATAAACTCATCATAGATACCAGGATTGAAATTTTGTATATGCGCCAGACGCGCGTTTTATCTACAAAACACTCATCAGTGACGCTATAAGCTTTTCGAAAGCAACTTCGCTGAATGGAATTGGGTGTACGGAAGACATCTATAGAAGATTGATGTAAAACAACAATTAAAACTCAGCTTACTTATTAATACCATGAATATTGTATGTCTGTAGACGAAACTGTGTATATCATACTTCTCAGTGGCATATTTTTTTTCTTCAAAAATAAAAATAAAAGGGGGTGAACAATTTCGTAATGTTTGTTTGTTAAAAAGAAGGAGCTGAATTTACTTCATATGCAAGTGCTGGAAAATTGCCACATGAAATAAAAAAAATCAGAATGGGAAAATTGAAATCATCTTTTTTGTTGTAAAGTTTAGATATCAACACATCCTCATTGTCAATTTCAAGATAAGAAGCCGACTAAACTGTATCTGTGGTAACCTTTATTCCAAGTCTAATAGTATAATTTAAATCAACATGGTCGACAAACTCTGAAACAATCACTAAAAGGATGCCGATTTCATTGCACACGACACATTATAAATATGCCAGTAAATTCACATACTATCTACGTTTTCCACATTTATTTTTGATTTTTTTCCCTTCAGAATAATGTGTAATGTTTGTTTCCCCCTTTGCACTTCATTAACTTGAACTTCTGCTTAAGAGACATATTCATGGTAGGTATTGATGCTTACATAATGTTACAGTAAAATGACGCTCACATAATGTTATAGTAAAATGACGTCCACATAATGTTACAGGAAACTGACACTCACATAATGTTATAGTAAAATGACGTCCACATAATGTTACAGGAAACTGACACTCACATAATGTTATAGTAAAATGACGTCCACATAATGTCACAGTAAAATGACCCTCACATTATGTTACAGTAAAATGACGCTCACATAATGTTACAGTAAATTGACGCTCACATAATGTTACAGTAAAATGACGCTCACATAATGTTACAGTAAAAGGTGGACTTTTTTGAAGAACTGACATACTTACTTTTGGCTGCAATTTAAATTGTTAATTATATATTCATTTAAACACGTACTCTGCATATTAGAACGTTTTTTTTTAAATTATGACATTAAAACGATCCCAGCTGACCATTATGCGATATGGCATTGACAGTTATTTATAATGCAATACGTCTGAAAGATTCTTGACTGCTTGTTATTAACGGTTGCCCGTTTTATTAAGGTCCCTTTCGGCCTTCTTAACTGTAAGTGATCAATTTCAAATAGGAAAGTGTTTAGAAATTATTATTGTTATGATATAGTTGTTCTTTTATACCGACCTAAATTATTTGTAACATCCACGTTCATATTGGTTGTCAATTATGATTAACTATTTCGTAAAGGCATTTAGCGTTGCATGCCATGATTAAAAGAGTGGAAAAGGGGGTGGGGCGGGGAATGGGTGGGGTGGGGGGGGGGGGGGGCTTAAAATATACCTTTGAATGAAAACAAAACAGTTTCATAGAAAAAAAATTATTACGCAAATGTACCTCTTTGCTAACGATTTTACAACCTGTAAATATTTTTAGGTTTTTGATGCAGCTGATGTTTTAAGACTGGGAAAAGATTTGGTGGTACAAAACTCATTTACTACAAACAGGAAAGGTATTGAATGGTTACGCCGCCACACAAAGTCACGTGGTTATAGAGTGCACGAAATACATTTTCCAGACGATCTTTCACCTGTGCACATAGGTTAGTTTTTTTTATATTTTGATTTTGAAATATGATATGCATTATGAATGAGAAAAAATAAAATTTTAATGTAGCTGGAATTAGCAAATATTATTTGTTTTCGATTTTTGCTTTTTAGATTGTAGTTTAATACCTTTAGTTCCTCCCACAAAAGAAAGGAAAGGCATTTTAATGAACTGCCCAGAGCGCCCCATTGCGCCAGCTGATAAGGAAAGGATTTTCAGTGGATCAAATTGGGAAGTGAGTACTGCCAAACCTGACTTTTTGTTTTGGCAATTAAGATTTAATAGGAAGTATATCCAATGGACGAATATTATCATTACCATTATAAATAGAAATGATAACAGTTGTTACAGTAGTTATTATTAATAAAGCAGAAAGTTTCTAAAAATGCTTTTAATTTTAATCATAATCATATTATAAGTCTGGTTATCACTATTGCGCAAAAACAAGCTTCCCATCTTGAATGCGCATTTTTCGAATTTATTGTCCTTTTGTTTCGTCCTGTAATCCAGAATTTGTTATTCCTATACTCAATACTTGATAAACGACGAAAGGTTGGAATACTGTAAAGCATCTTATTTGTATAAGAGAATATAGATTGTCACATAGATTGTCGAATTTATGATTAATTTGTACTCGCCTCTTATAATTACGAAACGCTGATAGATCATAGAAATGCACATATAATTTTAGAGAGTGTAAGTATATTGTACAAATTTGTATTTATAAATTCTTTATATCTCCAATATTACATCTCCATAGCTTTTACGTATACACCAATGTGCGTCTATAATATATATATATATATTGTAGATTCAAAATGCACCGCGGCCGTTCACAACAACAATACCAGAACTATGCCAATCAAGTTATTGGTTATGTATGAATCTGCTTCTGGTGAGTCCTGACAGAGCTATTGTTGAAGAAACAGAAATACCAACTATCAACTATTTAGAATCACTAGGTAAACATAGCGTCTAATTTTCTATAAGTCTTTTAAACAGTTTTTTGTTCACATAAAAGTAAAAATTTAAAATACACCCATCAAGTAATTATTAAAAAAAATAATAATGAGTGAAACGGAATTGCGCTATTCAGCTACCAACCAAAAGACACAAATAACCAACAGACATCTTTAGAATAGAAAAACAAAGGATATGGGTATCCATCCATGACACAAAATCAGTACATTCACAGCAAAAAAACACAAAGAGCAAAGGAACAACGCTTTTATTGCTGTTGTTCACTTCAATGTCACAGTGAGGTCTTCAACACGAAGCGAAACAACTCTCACCTCACTGCAAGTTTAAGACAACCCCTAGCACTGGTTTAAACGGAATTCTTTGCAAAAATAATTTGGATAGACTTAGTAAGACATTACACCACCAAATCGGGCCCGGTCAAAAAAGAACATACTGGAAAGTAGTACATATTTAAAACAAAATAGTTTCTATGCATAGGTGTAAATATAAAACTATGTAGAGTATATTTATAGATTAAGGTATCACATGAAAGGTGTTTACTGGTTATCCTTGTAGAACACCTATTGACTGATAAATTTGAATAATACAAAACTGTATGAATGAATTCTAAAATTGAGGGCATATATTGCCTATTTCTCAGATATGAAGTACCTAGTTTAGTGTATTCAAAGGTTAGCTAGCTCAGTCTTCAACAAATGACAGGTGCTTATAAGATATGTCAAGCTTTAAATCGTGCCTCGTCAAACATGGCTGTGAATAAATTTAACAGATAAAATTGAGAATGGAAATGGGGAATATGTCAAAGAGACAACAACCCGACCAAAGAGACAACAACCCGACCATAGAGCAGACAACAACCCGACCAAAGAGACAACAACCCGACCAAAGAGACAGCAACCCGACCAAAGAGCTGAGACTATCAAAGATATACCATTAACACAAAATAACCAAAATAACCAAACATTAAGATATGTCACATGATTATAGTGACGAGATTCCTGACTTGGGACGGAGGAGAGAGTAGGTCAAGTAATCGATAGACTTTATTCGTCTGTTCATCCATTTTTCGTCCAGTCGAAAAAACATAGAGAGTACTAGTTAATGTCGTCTTTGAAACCAACAGTATTCACACTTTGCAAAGTGATTCACACTTATTTAAGAGGAACATATTATATCTTGAACAGATTTAGATAAAGATTTCTCTGGTTCAGAATGTGTAAAACGTAGTAATTTTTGCCTTTGATTAACATATAGAAAACCTAATTATTGCTGACCTGTTTCTGTATTGTTATGAGTTACAAGTTATAACTAAAATCAGCAAAGACCCATCGAAACAACATCTGATTCAAAAATTTAATAACACTTTTAGATATTTAGATGATATATTGGCTCTCAATAATGACGACTTCAGTATGTACACTAAAGAGATTTATCCTGCCGAACTGACTTTAAATAAAGCTAATACTAACAATGAACACTGCGATTTCCTGGATCTTGATATCTTTATCTTTAACGGGAAGCTTAATACCAAAATTTATGATAAAAGAGATGGTTTTTCTTTTCCTATTGTTAATTATCCATTTTTAAATGGTGACGTTCCCTTGTCGCCATCTTATGGTGTTTATATATCTCAACTTGTTCGATTCGCTCGTGTATGTAACAACGTATTTGATTTCAACGATGTCAAATCATTAAGGATTGCATATTTTGGTATTAATATTGATTCACTCATAGGGTCTTTGCATCGGAAATAAACACATTTATTCTAAAACCGGTTGTTGGCATGAAACGGGTTATGTTCTTCTCATATATTTTATGATGGTATGATACTAAACCCCTAACGGGAGGGATTGTACTTGATTTTCATATGATGAAGACATAATCTTTCAATCAGTTTAATTGAGGTCTGGAGCTGGCATGTCAGTAACTGCTAGTAGTCCTTTGTTCATTTATGTATCATTGTCATTTTCCTTAGTTTCTTTTGTTACCTTTCTGACATCGGACTCAGACTTCTTTTAAACTGAGTTTTACTGTGCGTATTGCTATGTGTTTCTTTATTCTACATTGGCTAGAGGTATAGGGGGAGGGTTACGATCTCACAAAACATGTTTAACCCCGCCGCATTTTTGCGCCTGTCCCAAGTCAGGAGCCTCTGGCCTTTGTTAGTCTTGTATGTATTTTAATTTTAGTTCATTTATATGTTTTGGAGTTTAGTGTGACGTCCATTTTCACTGAACTAGTACACACTTTTATTTAGGGGCCAGCTGCGGATCACCTCCGGGTGCGGGATTTTCTCGCTGCGTTGAAGACCCATTGATGGCCTTCGGCTGTTGTCTGCTCTATGGTCGGGTTGTTGTCTCTTTGTCATATTCCCCATTTCCATTCTCAATTTAAGTATGTGTTATCTAGCCCGACAGTTTTCCTTCATACTGAAGCAACTTCTGCACAGGGATACTACTTGTATGGAAACCTAATATTTTCGACGGATTTGAATTATTCTTTCTCATTGGTGGACTAAAATCATTTGTGTTATTGGATCATGGCAACAGAGGGTTGCTAGTATGAATCATGTGTTTCTCAAACAGGTTTCCAAGTCATTATTCACACTTTGCACAATAATTTAACAGAGATTTAAGATATGTACCAAATGTTTTGGACAGATATGAAATATAATTTTTCCATGTTTTCAATGTGTTGAACATAGTCATTTTCGTCAATAAGTGCTATTCCTGAATATCCCCATAATAGTTCTAGTCATCTATCTACAAAAAGAGACAAATATCTATTCGACATTCAAATCTCGTTATAATTAGTTTTATCTGTCTTTAGTGATATAAAGACAAAACAAGTCTTTTCACAACTATGGTAACTACCAATTCGTGCATTTTGATTGATTGCATCTATGATAGTCGATAAAATTCCTTTCTTTGAGTATTTTACAATCTGTTCTTTAAAATAGCAGCGTGCGACACAGATCGATACAGATCTTAGTCTTGTTGATCTCAACCAATAAAAGGTACATTTTAAAAGGAAAATTCAATAGAAATCACATGGATCGTTAATATTTGTAAAATGTGTTCAACACATGTTTGTTGTTTCGTTTGGGGAATTGGGTATTTATTGCAGATTTTCAATTGTCTCTGTTAGGTTTATTCGCATCTTTATTTAGATTAAAGTCACATAATGTAAAGACACTTGTCTGTTGTTTAAGAAATTGACCCTAAGATTTTTTTCTGTGTATCTAAGCTTTCAGTCTAGTGTTGATTATAAACCATGTTTATTATCATTGGTTACTGTCTTTGGTATCAATACATCTGTATTCGTATGTATTCCCCTTAAACCTAAGGCGTATTTCCTGTATCACGTATCATAGTAGAAATATGAAAAATATGAAAAAGAACTCTCATTTCTATAATTTGTTTTCATTATCGATTCGCTTCTTTGATATCAAATGAACATCATTTTATTAAATTTCATGTAACTTAACGCGTATTCATAGCTAAAGGATCAGTTTCTTATAATTTTGTGAAATAGGAAGACACCATTTTGATTTTAGGTTATAAGATAATTTCCGCCGCTTTTTGGTTATGCTTGCAATTTTTACGGGTGCTTTATGTGGAGCAGGATCTCCTTACCCTTCCGGAACCCCGAGGTCACCACCGGTTTTGTTTGGTGGGTTTGTGTTGCCCCGTCTTTTATTAGTTTTCTATGTGTTTTTTGGCCATTTTTCGTTTTTTGCCATGTCGTTGTCAGTTTGAAAATACGGATATTGTGTTATTGAAATTTGCTGTTACAAAATTTTGAAAATTATTCAAAATTAAGGAGTATATCTAGCTCTGATTCCTTGCTCGGCTTTTTTTTATACTTTTTGTCTTTTGGGGTTTTATCAGGTCTTCAATTTTTGAGTAAATTTTAGGTTTTCAAATATTTTGGCCTCGAGCATCACTGCAGAGATATATATTGTCGAAATACGCATCTGGTGCAGTAAAATTGGTACCGTTAATATCCTCATCGACTCATGAGTTTGAATATCCCTTTGGTATCTTCTGCCTCAATAATAAATTGTACATTTGTATTGTGAAATTAATGCTTTATTAATTTAGATGTTTATTGTATTTTTGAAGGTATCAAATGTATAAGAGTTCCATTCAGGGATGTATACGGCTTTGGCGGAGGAATACATTGTGTAACGAGTGATATACGTCGTCGTGGAGACCGTAAAAGTTATTTTCCAAATTTTGACTAAGCTGAAATGAAGTAATTGAAGTTTGTCAGCAAATAATTGAACATTTAAAAATAAATTAAACCTAAGCGAACTGCTATTTTTTTCATTTTATACACAATTTTTCGTATTTCTTTAAATGAAGCTCTGTAAGTCTATATGTTATGCTAAAATATGGCCAATACACTGAATTTGTCAGATTGCGGAGGAGGACTCCAATGTTAATTCAAAGTAGAGCTTCATAGTCAAAGAAACTGGTCAAATTATTGTCAACACAAACAAACTGAAAAGTCTTTCCATTCTTCATAAAACGTGGTGTACAAAGTAATCATGAAATATCTTTATTGACTTTCAAAGACGAGAACCAAAGCTTAAGTTCATTTTAAGGTGTTCAAGCCAAACTATTGTCAATATGACACAATTAATATCTAGGTTGATTTAAACATAGGTTATTCTTATATTAAGTAGGAATGTGTACGCCATACTACACAGCTTTGTTGACCAACCATTGCGCGACATCAGACTGCAGACGAAATAACAAATAAAATGACAAATGAACGGGAGAAAAAGCAAACGAACAAAGAACATGACGAAAGAATAGATGAAAAAGCAAACGAACAAATAAAATGATAAAAGATCGGAAGAAAAAGAAAATGAACATAAAATATGGCAAACGCAAAGTTAGCAGATGAACATACAAAATGATAAACGAACAGTCGTTAAATTAAATAAACAGCCCCTGCTTTTCTGAAAACTGATGTAATTTCATAATAAAATACATGAAAATAACTAATTACAAATTTAAGCTTAAATGAAGGCTGATATCAGATACCAGTTTTTTTAGCGCTCGGAGCCGTCTTACTATTAATGATAAACATGTTATTTTTTTTGAAATACAAATAAAGGCAACAGTAGTATACCGCTGTTCGAAACTCATAAATCGATAGAGATAAAAACAAATCCGGGTTACAAACTAAAACTGAGGGAAACGCATCAACTATAAGAGGAGAACAACGACACAACAAAAACACAACATTAAAATGTAACACACACAGAAACGAACTATAATATAACAATGGCCATTTTCCTGACTTGGTACAGGACATTTTAAGAAAAAAATGGTGGGTTGTCAAGTTTTGAACGCATGGTACAATACAGTAGTAAATAATCTGTACGTTGATTGGTTTTGAGCTCTGAAGATTTTTTTAGATTAAAATGTTTTCAACCATGAAACAAAAATGCAAATCAAATGAGGTTGTCTTTAATGAAGGAGACAAATCAATTCAGGCTCAGCAGGTGGTACGGATAAGTCTTAAAAAATTAAAACAACACGTTATAAATCTAATGCGTCCGAAGCGCTTTTCTGGATTTACCTTCATCAGGAACGCACAAAGCCGAATATTTGAAAGCCAAGGATGTATAAGAACCGAAACAGTTTTAGTAGACAATGTGCGCTTCTGACACCACTAGGTTGATGCCACTGTTGATTAGAGTTTTTATGTTTTGATATGGTCATTTCCTAAAAAAATTCTGTTATTAAAGAAATTATCCGAACACTAAGGTTTTCTACCCCCCGGCATTAGCCACCTCTGACACAACACTTCAGAATTGTATACTAGCTTTCAAATTGGTGTATGATTTTGCCTTCCAACTTGTTTTTTCGAGAGCTGCTGATCAGTCTTATGCAGACGTAACATTGTATAAGCCTGGTATGTTTGATGAGTTTTTAAGTCTGGAAAATATTTACAATGTATGGATGTTTGTAACAGTTATCGGGTAATTTACCATTCCAGAGCACCTGAGATCACCCCGGTTTTTTATTGGGTTTCTTTTGCTCAGGCTTTTGTTTTCTAAGTTGTGTTTTGAATACTATTCTTTCGGTCGTTTTTCCTTTTTTTGCTATGGCGTTGTCAGTTGTCATCGAATTATGAGTTTGAATATCCCTTTGGCATCTTTCGCCTCTCTTTTATATTTCATTCCACTATTCAACATAGTAAATGAAAAAAACAACTATGCGTTAGCTGTTAAATTCCAGTCAGCTACAAATACAGTTGAACTTGATGCTTCTCACTTACATTGATATATGTCTAATTTCATGATGACCTATAAAAGATTACTTGTAAATTATTTAATTTCCTGTCATTATAACTGATATATAAAATTTCTGAATTTGACGAGAAAAGTTACATCTATGTGTGGTAACCGATGTTACAACCTCGTAAACCTATTAAGAAGAGGCAATTTCAGATAACAAAAAAAAAATACTGAGTGAATTGCATATGAGATTTGGTGCGTCTACACGGTAAGCGTCATTTGATTTGCATGCATCATCCGCCTTGCGAATCCACACTAAGCAAACCTGAACAAATAACTACAGTAATACATCCTGAATTCGTTTGAAGGACAACTTTGCTGATAAAGGTTTTGAATGATGTCAATATAAGTAATATTTCCACCTAAAATGTGCACAGAAAACAATAACTGATTACATCAAAGATAAAATTACACCTGCCATTTCGTAAAAATAGACCACTGCATCCAAGATTTGCAATCACAATAGCGTATTAGAGACCTTACCCTGAGGGAAAAAAACTCCCGATTGCTAACGCTACATCAGTGCATTAGAGAACGAAGCTGTGGGGTTGTGAGAAAAAAATAATGTTAGCCATTATTCAATTCGTTCTACGAAATTGAAATGTTAATGAAAATAACACTTTGTAAATTGTATGCGTCCGAAACGTTTTTGTTTCCTGCATGAACCCTCATCAGTAACGCTCAAAGCCAACATTGTGAAAGACAAATATGTATAAGTACTGAAACACGCGAAGAGCTATATGAATAAAATAGACATCTACGGTCAACCTTGCCTGAGGTAGTTGAGACCTTAGTTCCATAATGATATATTGATTTAAGAATATAATTCAAAACACAATCTTCTACGATACATAATGATAAAACTTTAAATTTAATTCAAATGATTTTGCCAAAACTTTCCCTGTGAGCGAACCCAGTCTCAACAGTTTGGAGTTCATGAAATTTACTTAAGTTTTTTTTCCATAACATTGGTAAACTACTGTTGACCTTTATAAATTTATGTAAATATTCATAGAAAAAATCCGTGAAAAAGCAACAAAAGTCAGAGAAAAAAACCCACTAGGGTTTGAGGGAAACAATAAAAAAGCTTTAAAAACACACTACAGAGAAAAGAACGTACGTTGTAAGCAACACACAATCTTGCAAAGAAGCCTGTGCCCAGGTACTCAAGAAGTATTCGCAAATCCTTCTAGTGTTAACATGTAAAAGCATTGTTATCAATAGCCAATCACGATCAATGCGAAATGACTGATTAAATTGAGTCATCAACGATACAAGACTTATAACTGAGTACGCTAGACACATGTTTCGTCTTTACACGACACATCAATGGCGCTGGATTAAAAAAGGTGGAAGTCGAAATGCTGTTTTGTATGTGATCCTATCATAATCTTTAATGCAATAAGCTTTAGCGTGTCATTATTAGACATTCAACAGACCATTTATTTATCATTGTGTTTCAAAAACTTTATACTGATAGTAGAATTTTTTGATTGGTGTTATTCATTTCAATTTTCAAAAGAGATTTTCTCTAAAGTATAAACGTACAAACATCCCCATAAACCCCTCAACCACCACCCATGCACATTTTTTTAATATTTTTGCATTAAATTAAGAATTAAAGTACTGCCATCTGACATATTTGGCAGAATGAAATATTCAAGACGGAGATTTATAGGGTAGCAAGCACTAAAAACTGAATTTTTCGAAGTTCTAAGGATTTACCTTAGCTGTATTTGGCAAAACCTTTCGGAACTCGGGGTCATCAATACTCTTCAACTTCGTACTTTATCTGGCCATTTTAACTTTTTTATTCGAGCGTCACTTATTAGTCTTTTGTAGACGAAACGCGCGTCTGGCGCAGAAAATTTTAATCCTGGTATCTATGATGGGTTTTATGATACAATAAACTGTCACACTTAATGAATACAACCCCTTGGTCCACAAAAAGATGCTGTTAATATGGAAATTAGAAGATGGTATGATTGCCAATGAGACCAAGAGAACTGTTATATCTGGTGCAGACAAATTGGTACCGTTAATGTTATTACTACCAATGGGCCGATATCGTCTCTGAGGGTATCACGAGCCAAGTACCCAGTGCTTCGGTACTGGCATGAACACACGGATATTGTTTTATCGAAATTTACTGTTTTGGCTATACTTTTTGTTCTTTTGGGTTTATAAGATCTTCATTTTTTTAATAAGCTGTAGATTTTTAAATATTTTGTCGAAATGTGCATCTGGTGTAGAAAAATTGGTACCGTTAGTGTTATTACAGAAATTTGTATATTCATGTTTTAAAAAAGATTCCGTTCTTCAATATATAAAATCTATAAAGCCAGGTTTAATCCACCATTTTCTACATAAGGAAATGTATGTACCAAGTCAGGAATATGACAGTTGTTTTCCATTCGTTTGATTTATTTGAGTTTTGATTTTGCCATTGCATAAAGGACTTTCCGTTTTGAATTTTCCTTGGAGTTCGGTATTTTTGTTATTTTACTTTTTTCAATAAAAATACGACAGCTGCATAATGTTACTAATAAATATTGTGAAAGTTTAGAACAGTTCAAGTCCAAATATTAACAGTACTAGCCTTTAGCCATGACAATTTTTTTTAACATTATCTTCTTTTTTCGTACGGTAATATCATAAAAGTCCTTTGACTAGTTAATTCAATAAAAAATCAAGACTCGCCTTTTAGCAAAATTTAAAAAAAATTCCGATACAAGTTACAACTTCAAAGAAAATGATAGTTTCAAAGTGTTCTTTGTTTCCATGATTCTATAAAATGCATTCATTTTCTTAGCATAATAAGTTGAGAAATAATTTTATCCCTCATTCATCACTTGTTTAATTTCAATAGATTAAGCTTGCATGATTCGCCTTGTATTGCTATTCAGAGTCATGTCTGATACAATTTGCCGACTAACTTGACTGCAATTACAGTAATTAGATCAGCAGGGAGGGATAAAAACACGAAAAACGATCTCTTTAAGTTAAATTCCTTTTGTAAAATGATTTACTGGGTATTCTAGACCCTTAAGATTAATGTTTGAATACTGAATCGTCCTTGAATGTGTTTTGTTTCTTGCATAATTAAAATTAGTGAAAAATTTAATCCTATTCATAATTGTGCCGGATTAGCAATTACAGAACCTAGGATCCTTATGTCAATTATGTAATTTCTATATGTTTTAAATTATCTTAATTCGCATCTCTTCCTGTCTGATGCTTATTTGTCCGTTTGTTTTGTAATTTGCGAATTTACCGATTCCCAGGAATTTATAAATCAAATACAACATCTGTAAAATCAATTGACTTAAGCAAAAAGGTGACTTACTGCTAATGGAAGTTCTAACAGATCAACATCTGATTATAGAGTTTGTGAAACAGTTGTTCAATAACTCATATTTAGAAAATAGAAGATTGGATGCAGCAATATAAAATTTATTAAATCAAAATTCTATTCAAACTCTTAAATACTGTTAAAAGCATTGACCGTTAACGGTGCGTGTATGCTCGCATCTGTTTCTGGTGGCTTAAAAAATCTCGTAGTAACAACATTCAGTGTAGAACATGAAAACAAGACAGTTTAACCGTACCGTTTCTGTTATCCGTTCACAATCCAGATCGTGTATTTTAGGCGTTTGCTATTTATTTACTTTAAACAAAGTAAAACTACGAGTATCACGAAATAAAATTTTGACACCGTATCGTTGCTATCTTATGGTCACAAACTTATTTAATGAATAAGATCAATGACAAGTTTTGACAGCTTTTATTTTAGCTGTCCATATTGTGGTTGCGCAATTGAATATTAAAAGGAATAAAATCGTAATAATCGTATAGTGAAAATAGGTGAACAATTCGGTCACCATATTGCAATCTACTAATATATATATATACATATAAAAAAAATTCCAAACAGTTAGAGCAAGTATGGACACAACATTCAAGCTTGATACAGCTCTGAATTTGGATTATGATTAAATATTTGACACAGCATAGGTTTCTGAAACAGAATAAATTTGGTATAAGAACTTAAAAATTTGAAATTGGACATTTACCTATTATGGTCCAATATCCAAAATCAAAATACATGGTTAGATTCAGAATCTCTTTTTGCTGAACTTGCATTGCTGATCATTTTTGCTATTTAAAGTTTCTCTCTATCTATTTCAGTTTTCAAGAAAATAGGCTAAACTGAAAAATAACGTAAAGAAGTTGTCTGACAGTTTTGATGTAAATAGACTGTAGATAGATCTCAACATTCTGAGCATTTCTGCCAATGTCAATGAATGAGCAAATATAGAATTTTGTTTTGTTTCTTCTGAGTTTTGTTTTGTTACTTGTATGTTCTACATTTTGCAGGACATTATTTATATACGAGAGGCGAAAGATACCAAAGGGACATCAAACTCAAAAGTCGAAAATAAACTGATAACGCCATGACAAAAAAAAGAAGATCAAAAGACAAACAACAGTATTCAAAACACAAGATAGAAAACTAAATACCGAGCAACACAAACCATACAAAAAAACGGGGTGATCTCATGTGCGTGCTCCGGAATGGTAAGCAGATCCTGATTCACATGTGGTACTCGTCGTGTTGCTCGTGTCAGTACAAACCCGTGAAGTCTAATTCGGTTGGTCACGGTATATAATACGTTTTTATATCGTCCTTTCTATGGCATTATATCAGGATGATACATGTGTCCATAACTTTTAGTTGTACGTATATCAGTTAGAACTGACACTAAATCTTTTTTTTATTTCTTTTTAGCCCAATTTTTGGGACAAATCAATACAGATTAAAAGGGTTCGAATTAATTTGAATAATCCATGAATAATAGCAAACAATCGTCAGCTTCAGAAATGTACATGTTTATGAGATATATACATTTAAAGAGTGTATTACATTGTATGAACTGCTTTTTGTCTATGGTTTAGCAATCATTAATATTATAATTATTATTTTGTGCACTTCTGCCTATTAATTAGTATCCAATTTGTTATATTATACACTATGTAAAGATACAAGACTCTTCAGTTTATATATACAGAGTTTGTTTTATCCGTGATCATTGCATGTCGACACAAAGACAACGATAGAATGATAGAGAAGTCAACGTCGATCATCCTGAATGTATAAATATCAATAAATTATTCCAGAACACTGATAAAACAATATGATGTTAATTCAGTTGAAGGATTCCCATGTTTTTACTCACGTATAGTATATTATAGTTTCTTGAGTCTACAAGTTATAATCAGTTCCAAATAAAGGGTGAAACATTTATGTTTAGGACGCAAGATTATGATTATTCGACCATCCAGCAACGAATGAAAATAACAATGGCCCAGAACTTGCCCTTCTATTATTGACTAAGTTGTGGACGTACTAAACTGACATTTTATTTCTCCGTTTTCACAACATATTTTCACTTTCTGCCAGTTCATCATCATTGAATCGTTGTGAATTCGACATAAAACGAAATCCATTCCTACCGGAAGTGAGTTTACCATTTGTTGGTGCTATGCTGTCTCTACCAACGACACTCATATCCTGAACCATCGATGTCTTTGTGTATCTTGTGCTTAAAGCCCTAGTGTCTTGGAAAATCTTTAGCTTTTTCTTCAGGACCGTCTTAACCTGAAAAAAAGTCATTATTAATAAAGAAAACGTTTTTCAACACTATTTCAAATGAAGCTTAATGTTTATCATTTTGTGCCTGTCTTTAAGACATAATCAAAAGGTGGCTTAAATAAAACATCAACTTTCATTTTGAGGTCTATCTCCATAATGTTAAATTTTGTGTTTAATTGTGAAAATTCTGTCAGTTGAAACTAAGTTACGTTGACAAGAAACATAATCTGTGCATGGAAACACTATATAATGTTTGTAATTTTCAAATCTTTAACACGTAAAACAACATTAATTATTTTAACACGGAGATAATTGTCGTACCGATGATTCGAATCCGTAAATAATTGACCATAATTATGCAATACAATGTCAAATTGTTATACGATACATCTAAAATTGATTTGATTATAACTTCAAGTGTGTTTCCATGCATCTTATATAATAATGAAAGTTATGACTGTCTGATATGTTATTTAAAACTAGGAGTTGCTCCTTTGTTTTTGTTTTCTCACAATAAGTACTAAAAACTAATGTCATCTGCATTATGACTAGTTGAAAAAAGTAACATAAAAAGAGAACAGCTCATCAATTTAAGTTCTTTAAAGTGCTATCGTCGATACTATTAGCCCTTTAAAGATAGAAAACTGTAAGGATAATTCAACATTTGTTACGATCCATATTTATTAAAGATCTCATTTAGTGGAAATTAATCAATTTAAAATAATTCAATCCCAAAATATAAAAACTCTACGCTCAATGCCAAATTTAAAACTCGGTTAACTGGACAAACTGATTCAGGGATTATCATTTGGAAACAAAGAAAAAAATTATCAAAACCTGAATTTAAATAAATAATTAATAACTATACCAAAATGAGTCTCTTATAATTCGTAAATTTTAAGAGCTATGCATCGACACATTGTCAAAAGGAGTCAATTCATAAATTTCGAACGATATTCTATGTATTTCGTAGTGGTTTTTTTTCGGAGTATTTTTCTTTTAAACATAGAAACCGTAAAACCTACTAAAACTTTATAAAAGAGCGCAAAGATATTACCATAAAACTGAGTTTGAAATACGGAAAGGCCAATCTATCAAAAAAAAATAATGGCATAAAAAGAGTCGTTAAGATATGTTTATTTGAATGTCAATTTTTTCACATTTTATCACCTTTACCTTTGTAAACTTTCATAAACAAAGGTGTAAAAGACAGCAGTAAATTGATCAATGACAACGTTTCTAATTTTTTAAATAAGAATATGCATTGATGAAAACATGAAGCATACTCTGAAACCATCATAAGACACCATCAACAAACAACGTTCAGCATGCGATTAGTAAGTTTGTCATATCATACCATGCCCTCAGCTATTTGATTATATACAGTTAGAAAAGAGATTGTGTTAGTTGAAAAGGTATACTGACTTAGTTAAAGTCAGACTGACAAGCACCAACTTTTGTAGACTTTTTGCACTCTTGATTTCTCTCAAATGAAAATATGATGGTAATTTATATCAAATTGAAAAATAGTTAAATGTGGTTTGGGAAACTTTGAATTAAGATAGTTCATTCAAATCTGTAAAGTAAGCATGAATTTCGAGATGAAAATAAAAATTGGTGCCAGGACGAAAAGCCCTCTAAACATGCGGTTTTTTCTGCAAATAATCAAATCACAAAGACAACATTTTCCAAATGTTTGACGTTTAGTGCAGACTGCATACAAGCAACAAATCCAATCCACAGCTACAGTTCTAGATACCTAGTAATTAAAGAATAATTTGCTCTTGATTCCACCCAATTTGTTATTTTCTTCTTTATAACAGTCTGCACCTACGAAAAACAATCATTATTAAGGTCTCCGAATACACTGGTGAGCTAATTCTGTGAGTGATAATAACTGCTGCATTCAGAAAGAAGGAAACAAATATTTGTAAAGGAGTGTCAAGGCATTGATCAATATAAGGTTTTAGCTTCGTTAACATTATTGTAACACGTGCTGAAGTGATCGATAAATCATGAGGTGAAACATGTGTATAATTAGAAAGATGCAGTTAAAGCTGTTCGCTTTTGTGTAAAATTTAACTTTCATGCAAATTTTGCAAATGATCCGGTGTCATTGTGGCGATTTTAATAAAGGGTGTTTCCGTATCATACAGATTAAAGATATATTCAAAGCAAGAAAAAAGCATTGTAGGTTGTTATTATACATTCTATTTGTTCATCCGTTAGAACCATCTTACTTGCATTTGTTGCTTCATAGGAATTATACATGAATAATTTTTTACTTGAATAGCTAATCAAGAAATAATGATAACGATAATAATACTTCAGAGCACTGAAACGTAGATTTCATAATTGATTATTTTATAATCTAACTTGAATGAAAAAAACATTTATTAGACGAATATATCACAAATGAATCATTAAGCATCAAATCAAGTTAAACACTATTATGTTTTGATTAAAGGCTATTTATAGGTAACTTACCTCTCCATTTAAGAAGCAGTAAAACAAAGCCACAAAGAAACCCTACAACAAATAGAATTGTTCTTTTTATGTGATTATTATCTTTCTTATTCTGCAGATAAACTAGAAAGCTAGAAAAATATTTTTAAAGATCATGTAATAAAACAAAAACAATTTCCATAGAATTTCAAAAAAGATTTCTGATCATTTCTACTTTAGAATACACGATTTTGAAAACAGTACAAGAAATCTTCGAACTTCTAAAATTGCTTATAAACTTGGTTGTTCTTTTCAACAGCAAGCATTTTAGAACATTTACATCCGAAGTTCCAAAAGGAGGGAAGTATTTTTGATTATTATTAATACATTTGGCAAAAAAGTGTATTTGAAACAAAAACATTATAGTTCTAGCACTAATACAGTTTCCTTATATATTCTCTTTCGTTATGTTAAAAACAACTTGTATTTTTTTCTTGAAAATATGAGATAATTAACTATTTTTTTTTAAAACCCGAAGTACATTTGGTATTTGGGAAATGTTCTAATCATTAACGTACCATGATTAAGAACCTCGTTCATCCACATCAGACAAATCCATAAACATTCATTCTTGGGTACCCTTATATTTATAATGTGCATAACTATTTTAATATAAATTGAAATTAGTTCACATGGTAGATTGTTTTTGTGCATAACTATTTTAATATAAATTGAAATTAGTTCACATGGTAGATTGTATCTTACACTTTCCGAAATCCTTGTTTTCATTCTTATTAATTTTTACAGTTAAAGCTAGCAGTCAAACAATCATTATTCTTGGCTATGCACGTACAATGATTAAGAGTTGGCGAAAAAGACATCTTTGTTTAATTTTTCTACAACATTATCCATGCAGATAATAGCTGGTGGTATTGTTTTCGCCGTTGAACAAAAAATTAGATTTTGAATTGACTTGCAAGAACAAAATAATTTCAATTTGACACGTGTTCACATAGAGGTCTAAGCAGGTGCTTTTACGATACATTGAATAAGGTTATGATTAATTCCTTATCGTATGCTGTCAATTTTGGTGTTTTTGTTGCCAAATTTTCTGTTTTCAGTGTAGTATTTTAGGAACTGTGGTCGTTGTTTGTCTAAGTCACTTAGTCATGGCGTTGTTAATCAATCTTCGATTTTTTATGGCCCTTTTGTATCTTTTTACCTTTTTTTATGGCAGCAGTTCGTATATGCATTCAATGTGGACTCAATTATACATAACCAAACGAAGTGTCGGTATTAAAGATGTTTATCTTAAGCTTTTTTTAAACTTAGTAAACGAGGGATGGGTAAAACATTTAAATGAGCAAAACAAAAATCTAGAAAAAACGATATGATGTGAAAGTGAAATATTGATTATAGGAAAAATTGAAGACCTAATTACTTTACGTTATAGTACTTTGGTTGATATTTGGGATGAGATCTAGATGGCCTTTGCGAGTATTCCCTTGATGTGATGTCGCGTTTGAAGTTAGGCACCGGAAAGAATCATGAGTGTACGGTTCACCAATTACAAAGCTATTTAAGGTGATACAATTTCATGCCTTTTACTATGAATTGTAAACAATGACTAGTTTTCAATTCCCGTTTTATTTTATGTCCAACTGTAAAGGCATCATTTTCGAAGAATATATACCTAAGTGGCATCATTACTGCAACACAGATTCGATTTTGAAAATTTATATGCTATCAACGTTAAGACACTCTAATTAAATGGTAGACTTTTATCGCCTTCGGGATATTTTTATAATCTACCAGACACTATCTTGTCGTCTTCATTTTGAATATGTCAGGATAAATCTCATTTAGATTGGTTCTGGACAAAGACCTGACAGAAAGATTACTAGTTGAATAACTGATGAAAATTACAAGACGATTTAATGTCTTTTGTGAAACTTGAATATATCGGTTTCGATGCAACACTATCAAATGCAACTTCCAACTTGATAAAAGTGAATAAAAAAACCTTTAATCAATGGTTTTTGTCAACACTAATATTGATAATGTCTCAAGTAACAATCTTTCCGCCTATATGTTACATAAACATTACTACACCTTTGAATTTACACATTTCCATGGCCAGCGCATATAAAGCATTTTAAACGAAACAATATAAATAAGAAGATGTGGTTTGAGTGCCAATGAGACAACTCTCCATCCAAGTCACATTGTATAAAAAATAAACAATTATATGTCAAGTACGGCCTTCAACACGGAGCCTTGGCTCACACAGAACAACAAGCTGTAAAGAGCCCAAAATGACTAGTATAAAACAATTCAAACAGGAAAACCAACGGTCTAATCTATATAAAAAACGAGAAACGAGAACCACTTATGAACCACACCAACAAACGACAACCACTGAACAACAGGCTCCTAAATTAGGGCAGATGCATACAAATGCAGCGGGTTTAAACGTTTTAACAGGCGCCAACCTTCACCCTAACCTGAAACAGTAGTGTAACATTACAACATAAAAAGACACACATAAAATATCAATTGAAATGGCTTAACTCGATCAAAAGGACATATAAACAAAAACAAGTAAACATACACTGAACGAATAAGTTTGATCTATGACTCAATAAAGACACAATATTAATAAAAAAGATGTAGGAACAATCTCAAAAAGACAACTCTAACCTGGGATAAAATGGCGTTGAATTAAATAACGTACACAAGTAAACCTTTTTACTCATTCATGTTTTATATAATCATGTTGTACATAAAAACTAAATACAGTCTGATTTGAACATATCTTTTTTATTAAATTGAATATTTACTCATTGTAGGAAACGTCGAAGTAACTGGACGAGTCATATGGGCATTTATAAAATGTATTTCTCATTAGTGAGACTGACAAATAATTATTGTGAATATAAGAATCAAACAAATATCTAACAGTTTTCAAAATTTTACATAATTATATTCTATAACATACCTGAAACGACTGTAAAAATGCATTGATATATTGATGTACTTCTACAAAAATATGGTTATCACTTGGTGGCCAGATAAATATAACATATGTGATACCCAGCAATGGAAACAGTGTTATTGTTGCTTTAACTGCTTTCCTGTTAAAATCAAATTATTATACGGTTAAGTTATATATTAATTAGGTATCAATTTGATTGATTGATTAATAACTTTTAACAATATACCATCAATTTATCCATAATTGAAGCCAAATTAGTTATATATGCCGGACATCCATTTCCGGACAAAACAAAATACTTCAGAAGTTATTTACCCTTATCAACTCATGGTTATTGATAACTGACTTCGTATTGATTTGCTTTCGTTTTGTTTGTATACATAAAAGGATATATTGGAAATATTTAGACAGCAATCGAACGACAGAAAAAACAAATACATCTAGTAGTATGTTGTATTTCTATGTTGAAATAGGCTTTTTGTTTGAAAGCACAGTTTTTGGTAATAAATATATAAAAATCATTCATGACTCACATTTTGTCAAAAACATTTTGTTCGTAAATGTATATGAATATTATATAAAGCAAAATATATTTTAAAACAGCTTGAGTACAAATCCACCGAGGGACTGATATATCAAGTGCAAATATACATTTCTAACATTGTTTCGATAAATTCATGACGTTTCTGGTTATGCAATCTAGGTGCAGAACTTTGAGTTATATTTTCCAAAATATTTTTCCATCGTCCCTTTATGTTTAATCACAAGAACTTTAGCGTGGATTGATTGTCTCAAGGCAAATTTGACTTTAGATGGATTTGGCTATCTATTTTAGGTATTTTTGTCATATAGCTCTTCAACGGTTTCGGTACTTATACATCTTCGGATTTCAAATGTTTGGCTTTGAGCGTTCCTGATGAAGGTAAATCCAGAAAAGCGCTTCGGACGCATAGAATTATTTAATGTGTTGTTTTCAATCTTTGTCTCAAGTGTTGGCTAACTGGGAGATATGGCTTTTTCGTAACATCGCTTCTGTGTCCATTGAGGCGTATGTGGAATGACTGGTTTGGCTCACAAATATATTGGAAATTTTTTTTAACAAAAATACCGAAGTCCAAGGCAAATTCAAAAAGGGGAAGTTGCAAGGACTATGTGGTATTATTGATGAATATTGCTGATTAAAGCAACTGTGTGTAACATTTACAGCATTTCTCAACAAACGAGTGGCACTCTAAAGAAGCGAAACTTGGTTAAGACACGTCAACCTGTAAATGTTCCTCAGATTATTCGGTTGCCTAAACGCTATCGTAGATGGTCTCGGGAAAGATCTTCGATCGTTAAGTTTTATTCCTTTGATCTTCAATGTACTCGAATGACATCGAAACTATTCCAAAAAGATAGGTGGAAACTTAGAAGACATGGATTACTTTTTCTTGTTTATCGTTGCTATTGTTTCTATTTGCGATTCTCTCCACTTTCAGAAAACTTGTCTTTTTAGTCTGATGTGATAAGCCAAGTTAAAAGCCTGGTATCTTTGATGAGTTATTGTTATTTATTAAGTTTGCTTTTATGGGAAAACTGTATTAAGTTCGAATTATCTTGGAAATAGTTGTGAAAAGAACACGATTTCCGAATAACTTTGCCTCATCCGATTTGGATTTATTTTAAACTTCCTATTTCCTGTTTAAATCAATACCATATCCAAAAACAGCACATCATGGCGGCCCTTAATGAACAAGATAAGTCCAATAACAAACAAAGAATTTCAAAAACTTCTTAAATGAAAATAAAATTGATCTACGACTAGCAATAAGGCAACTGAGCCTGACAAAAAATTTCATTTACTTCTTTTAAAATTAGTTATTAATACATGTACCTTATCATTTGACATTATTAGTTTAATAAATAAAACATAATAATTAAGATTCTATGATGAGTTTATCATTCACATGGCACGGTGTTTTCTCGTAGAAGTCATAGTTAACCCAACAAAAAATATTGTACAGTGAATTGATATGGTCATATGAAACATTTTCTATTTTTTATATGTTTTTATACAGATATTTGAAATACAGAGAAAAGAAAAGAAAAAAAATTAACTTAGCATAATTGACCACACATGTCTTTTCCGTTCTACCTTTGTGTAAAAAAATAGAACAATTATTTTAAAAATGATTAGGACATTAATTCAAAATTGGATGCATACATTAATGCAAAGACTGATTTATGATGAACAGCAACTCCTTCTCAAGCTACCAAATACCATGAAATAATGTTGTATATGCCATTCGTTTGTTACAATATCTGCGTTCTACATGTGTATTAAGTTCCCGACTCGGTTTTTTTATTTAGTTCTTATAACTTTTGCCAAATATATAGAAACCGGAGTCCGTATTTTAAATCTTTTATACGGCCTCGCATATACGCAATTATATTCCTGAATCAGTACAGATATGGCTAAAATCCAACAACATATCTAAAGCAAAAAAGCACTAAAGCGTTCTTTAATGAATTTTTGAAAAATAAAATGAATTGGCTTTAGATAAACGAAATTAGGTACATTCCAAATCTAATAAAGCAATTAAGTTTAACCAAAATAGACCACAAACTCCTTTCAAGATAAGTCATTACTACATGTGCTAAGTGGATATAGTGCTGTTTGAAAAATCAACATAATAATCCACTTTAAATGCTCGCGATTTCGCGGGTATTTTCATTTATGAATGACATGTAATACATATAATCTGAATAAATTAAATATTTTAATTTGAAAAAAATATGTGCATTGAACGTTACCTCAGCTGTTTTGTTTCGAGACTGTGGGATGACCGTAACTTTGTCACTAATATCCATATTATGCTGCCCAGAAAAATTATATTCACCTGTAATAAATGAGTTATTGTATCAATGCGTTACTTTCTTAAAGAGGACTTGAGTTAATGTGAACACTCAGTATGAATTGACACTTCAAACGCAAGTGGTCACTTTCTCCTGACAATTAAAATAATATACAATTACTTTAAGATTACCGTTCGATAAGAAAACTTATCATTGTCAGTAGAAGCATATGCACTACAAATGATAGACAAGTAAAGTATGAAAAGGGTAAGATTTAATTGATTTAATACAATACATAAGTAGAAATTGTCATTTGATTACTCACATCGGTACATCTACCAGGTTAACATTGATCAAAACATTTAAAATATATACATCCCATTTTTTCAATAGTCCAATTGTATTTTATGTTTCGAGATGTTATTGACTTTCTTTTTTATATCTTAGTACTAAAATAATGGTACAATATTGCAATGGAGGAATATTGAAATTGAATTTAAAAAAAATGTTTATCTAAGGTAATTGCACTTGATTACTGAGAATAGATAATAGCCTCGGCTTATAGTTGTTTGTGAAGATCACTTGTTTAAATACATATTTGTTTCCATACAATCATTTTGTATAAGTGTAGCAAAAATATTATGTTTATTATAAATATGTAAAATTTCTGACACACGTGAAATGATTTAATTAACCAATCTCCAAAGTTTGAATGAGTACTGAGTTTTTCTGTAAAACAAGATAATAATTTACAAATCTTATAATTATTCCAAATCATAAATAAAATGAAAATTATTTTTATAAAAAAATGCCGAAAATTTTCCTTCCACGTAAGGCCGTTATAAAAGGGTGGTAATCCGTGGTAGATGAGTGTATGTGGTCTGATCTCAGACGATTTTGAGGAGTTCCATACTTTTTAATGTTTATTACACAGAATTCGAAACTAAGAACTAAAACAACCAGGAAAAGCATACATTATATTTCCGGCTCTTACAATAAGCTTATGTTCATGTTTTCCCGCTATCATAAACATTGATTAAAGGGGACAAGAAAACTCAATGAGTTTATCCTCTTAAAACGTTTTGGTTTTTTATTTGCTTTCCATACTTTGGCATCGAGTGTATGCGATGATGGCTATTTAAGCAACACACGTCGTGCACGGGAATCAATATATCCTTTGTTTTCGTTTTTTTTTCAAATAATGAATTGAAATAAGGTGTTTAAATTAGAATTTGATTTGAACCGTTAAATCAAGACACAACGGCATAGCTCTACAGCACGGTATCATATCGAAGAAAATTTCAGATTTATATCTTTTAAAAAGAAATTATCATTTTTCCCAATCGTATTAAACATCAAATAAATGTGTACATGTGTAATGTTAACTCACAAAAGCGCTGCGAATAGATGACCCTGAGTTGACAAATTCTGATTTAAAAAATAAAAGTAATCAAAAAAGTATACGCTAAATCGTTTATTCATCTTTATATCTGCATTTTGAATTTAGAAAAATAAAGGATCTAGCTTAATTTTCGTATGATAGTGATGCTTACTGCTAATACAAACAAAATAGGTGCGATGTAAATGTAATCCAGCTTATCAGCTTCTGACTCTGCATAGTTTTTAGACTTTGGCATGAAACACCTAAATAAAATATAAATAATATATTAAAATAGAGACTGGAAGGCTGTTGGCTAGTTAACTTGACAAAAATAGCTTATCAATCTAAACAATAACAAGAATGTGTCCATAGTACACGGATGCCCCACTCGCACTATCATTTTCTATGTTCAGTGGACCGTGCAATTGGGGTCAAAACTCTAATTTGGCATGAAAATTAGAAAGATCATATCATCGGGAACATGTGTACTAAGTTTCAAGTTGATTAGACTTCAACTTCATCAAAAACTACCTTGAACAAAAACTTTAACCTGAAGCGGGACAGACGAACGAACGAAAGAACGAACGAACGGACGCACAGACCGAAAAACATAATGCCTCTCTACTATCGTAGGTGGGGTATACAAACAATCATGTTAACTTTCTTTAGTAACCAAAGCATTAATTGTAGATCATACAGCAAAGCCATTTGATATTGGTACTTCGTCATTCATTTGATTTACAGACTTTAATCCATAACTAATTGGTTAACTATAACAGTATGATTTAAAACAATATGTTTCCAGTTCTTCCATAAAACAACATGCTTTGAACATACACAATTATTTCATGCTGTACATGTATAATAACTTTATATTAAATCCAAGAATAACTTTATTGAATAATATTTATCAGATATTCTCTGATTAGTGTTTAATAATTTATGGATATTATTGGATATATATTCCATAGAAGTCTCATTTAATTTTAAGGTTTATACAGATATTCTAGCAGAGAAAGTATTTTGGTATAAAACTGAGGTATCAATGGGTTGATGAAGATTTCATCACATAAAGTATAAACTTACGCTGCTACATCACTAGTTTCATCTGCTCTAACTTGTGTCCGCAAAATCACCCAAATAGCAATTATAACGGCCGGAACGCCTGAAATTAAAACAAATCCCTCTAAGTTGAAAAATATTTAAATACAATATTGATCAGGTTAAATGAACTGATCTGCTGACAGTCAGTAGCATTATATTCGTATTTTTCTATGTATGTGAAAAAATGGGATGGATACTTGATATATACTTAATATTAAAAGCTTAATCACAGATATATAGGTAAACTACTACAAAGATGTTGACGGAGTGCAATTTTTAATAGAGAAATGTATTTTGTACCCCTTTGTTTCATACAAGAAAAATGAAATGGGGTCAATATGTTTATGTTAGTAAATGAAAACGTTTCTAGAGTTTTATCACTTATTTAAAAGTCAGGGGCAAGGAATATATGACAAACTTTTGTTTTCTCAAACAAATATATCATACACATGTTCACAATTTCTTATTTACAATATCAATTAATTTTTATATTTAGTTACAACAAAAACGACTTTACGTTCCGCTCTTATTATTAAGATAATAGGTAAGATCAATCATGAAATCATTTGATTTTCAGTATGTAGGTCTTAAAAGCATTTGTTTTTACAATTTAAATATTCTAAAAGAATTTGATGCGTATTGGACTGCAGAAAACCAGGCGTTACAAATGTTTTAAGTGCACAAAGATACGACTAATCATAAAATATAGTCTTATTTAAAAAACTGGCTAACACTAATAAAGAAAACAAATTGCTTTGAGTAAGTGCCAATTGTAAATTGTTTTATCCGTATTAACCCCTTCTTTTTTTATGTCAATACAGACAAACGCATCATGTTTGTCCAAAGTTCGTGGCGGTTGTGTTATTATATGATTATTGTTGCTATTAAGTTACAAGGAAAATGCTTCTATTTATTATAGTTAAAAATCCGACTGTCTTCACTTATTAAGTTGGATATTTGTCTGATATTAATAAGATAACCAGTACTTAACAATCATTGATATCATGATATCTATTTTGTTACAAGATAAACAACAGTGCTCAACAAACTGACTGTTAGAAGTCTTCTTACTTATCATTAAGCACCTTAATTGTGTAATGATTCATTGAAGATTCTTAAGTTAAATTGTCTTTTATCTGAGATTAATTAGAAATAAATTACATATCTTGCATCACATTGTAACTATTAATACATATTGTAATACTTCCCGATCACTGATATCAATAGTAATCATTACATAATGGGAACATTTTAATTGTTTATCTTGCATCATACATTTGCTTCCTCAGAAGTTTCGAAATAACCATTGACTGATGTATACTTAATTATTGTACATGAGAGTCTTTATAATCATAATCACAGATAGACGTTTTACAATTCATACACGACTCTGCTTTAATAGACGTTAATGGTACTATCTTGTTAACGAGGAAGTAATGTATATATGGTGTGACAACTATGATAATGATACAATAAATTATTTTTTTTAAAGCTTACTTACACCATCCTATAATGATGAAATACCACTTTCTAATCTTATCCGCAGAGTAGGTCCAGACAATAATAATATGTAAGTATAGTCCTTCTACTAACATCCAGAAAAAATTTGTCATTTGAGCATAGTTAAACAATGCTACCTCTAGTTTACATGCCCACTAAAAAAGAGTAAAAACATGGTAATGGTTGTTATTAACATTCTAACATTTGTTGCATATATTCATTATGTCAGTGTAGTCAGAAATTTCACATATTCGCTCTTAATTGATTATTGTTTGCTTTAGTCCATTGGCAAGTAGTTCATCCATACTCATTATGTCAGTGTAGTCAGAAATTTCACATATGCGCTCTTAATTGATTATTGTTTGCTTTAGTCCATTGGCAAGTAGTTCATCCATACTCATTTTGACAAGATGAAATACTAAGGAAAATTCTACTGTCCTCTCGTTATGGATTTGATATAGTTAATCTATTTATTGTTGTTTAACGCCACTTTCAGCACTTGACTATATCGTGGCGGTAAGTTTATTTGTGATGGAAACCGGAGTGTAAGGAAAAAACCCGACTTTCAGTAAGAAACTGACAATCCTACCACGTGCGCGGTTCGATCTTAAATCCTCAGTTTTACAGGCTAGTGAAACAGTAGATGAACTACTTAGACAACTCGCGTCCCTCGAATTTGATATACAAGTGTTATTTTTGTCAAAACAAAAATAAATTTTAGTCTTATAAAATCATTAACATATCGAAATAAGTATGTTAACGGTGTGTTTAGTTTTCGAGGCATTTTCTTCATATGAGCCAAAAATCTGCGTTAGTTCACCTTCATGTACCGTCGTTGTCATATAGCAAACAATATGGTGGGAATGGTGGCGTATCTTTACAGCTCATATAAAAACCCGTTTAATTTGTCGTTTTTACTTATTACAGAGAAATCAACCCTCGAAAATCTTCAACGATCTGAGGTTCTAATTTATCGTCACTGAAAAGTCTTTTGTAGTCGAAACGTGCGTCTTGCGTACAAAATTTAAATCCTGATATCTATGATGATTTTAGTTATAAACATTAACAATTTTCTTTTTGAATGTTCTTATGTGGAATATAACATCAATTGTTAATGTATGTTATTTAGAGCAGTACGCAATTAAATAAGTTCAACTATGTGATTTGTGTAATTTATATAAATTTTTTAAGAATTTCCTTAAACGACACCAAACTCCATCATCTCACGAGCGTGTAGTGCTATATGTATGTTGTTTCATTTTTTTCTTCTGTTCATAGTCGTATATTTCTGTGTCAAGTGTACTATGTCATATGTTGTCTAATTTTATGCCTTTTTTTAATTGTAGAAGAAATCGTAAGTTTAAAACCTGTGTCTTAACCATTGTAACTTTGCTTGTTTTGACATTTATAACATATGTTTAGAAAACTAATTTTGATCTTAAACGGTCATTTTTATTTGAACAACTCTTAAATGACTGAACAATTAACTATTAAATAATTTCAGACTTTTTCACTGCAGTAAATTCAATACTGTTTGGACAATTTGCTTGCAGTCAATTAAGATCTGCTCAGTAGTGGTCTGCAAAGCTACAGAACAGTACTGCATGAATTGTTTGCAAACCAATTGTCTGAACAGTACTAAATTTACCGTAGTAGATAAGTCTGACAATTGACTGAGAGACTTAACATGACTAAATAATGTATTGTTCAGACTTTTCAGATGATGTTTAGACCAAAATAACCTTTTCAGACTAAAATTCATTTACCAGTGCAAGTTGCTTAAATCTTCATTGGACCCTGTTTGATAATTGTCTCATTGGCAATCATACTACATCTTCTTATCTTATAACCATGTCCGGAAATGTTTTATTTGCATGTTTTCATATCTTTTAAAGATGTTGTATTGTATTGACAATTATATGTCGTTTTAACTGTTACATTTTCAAATGCTCCAAGTTTGTAAAATATGAATTTCCTCAGGCATTTACTTTAATATAATAAATAATTCATTATTTGCAAAATATATTAGGGCAATCAACTGAGTGCTTTTAACAGTCTATTCATTATCAGAACACTACAATCCTGGGAGAAGCGCATTAACGGACACAAAAGTAATAGTTATATGAATTCCAGATTATTGAAATCTGTATAGAGGTAGTTTTATGTGTTTAAAAAAATAAACGTCAAGCACCTTGAACAGGAAAATATAAACTAGGTTTCATCGAAAAAATTGTAAATGACTTAAAGTCATGCAGTTAATGCTATTATACAATGATTTTCGTTTGACAGTGATCCACTCGCTATATGATCACACATTTTCAGATATATTCGATTTTTTTATTTCATAGTAAGCAGTACAATTCAAACAATCTTAATCAAATCCTCAGTTTAAAAGAAAATGGGGGAAAATAATTTACCTTTTCATCAGCTTGTACGATTGGCCATAATGTATGCTGCATCATGATCCAAAGCAAGTTACGCAGAATAAACGTTGCTATAAGATGGCTATGAATTATATTCCGCAAGCATCGCAAACTCCTGCGAAATAAAATTTAACTTTAATTATCATGAACTGATTACATTCTTTTCTATTTTCCCGATCCTAAAATAGGAAAGTTACACACCACAACATTAAACACATTTAAAGCAATTTAAATATAAGGCGACATGTGAAGCAATATCTTATAAGTTCACATAGAATATAAACAAATCATAGATACCAAAGCATGCTTTCATGTTCAATAAATAAAGCACATGTACTTTGGACATTGTTTTCAATAACTGTAAGCATTATTATTATATACTCCTGCAATCGGTAATTAATTCACTTGTTATTCCATAGATCTACCAAATAGGGGTCACTTATACGCCTTCCATTTTTTTGTTTGTGCCCCTAAAATCCTCAGACAGGAAAATCGTTATTCGCAATTTTATCCATTTACAAAATTGTGTGACAATTGTGATTATAACTATTCTGTTATTTATTGCATTTTGAAAGAACACAGGAGCGAGTTAGAGCTTGATATTTGGTTTATTCACAACCTACATAGTTTGTGTGTATTGTGTGTGTATGGGTATGGGTGAGTGTGTGGGTTAGGGGGGGGGGGGGGGCAATAATTTGAACAGAATATCTTCAAATAAGCCTCATATATGTAAATCATAATGATAACATAATTGTGCGATGTCTTTGTGAAAAATAGTTAACAAAAATACCAAGCTCAAAGGTAAATTCAAAACAGGAAAGTCAATAAAAACTGATAAAATCAAACTTTAGACTTTATCAACTAAGGGATGACATCAAAAGAACAATGTAGGATAAAAAACTTAAATCAAATAGTTTGGGGGTGGGGGGTTAAAATTGTTGCAAGTTTTGTTTATCCAAAATCGATTTTACATATATCCATATTGGTCAATCAATTTTTCCCAAATTAAGTTAAGAGGGGGTGGGGGTCAGTGAAAAAACTATGTGAATTAAGTTTTTTTTATCCTACATTGAACTTTTGATGTCGTCCCTAACGGATGAATTAAAACAAATGTCATATTCCTGACTTGGTACAGGCATTTTCCGAAGAAAATATTGGATAATACCTGGTTTTATAGCTAGCTAAACCTCCCACTTGTATGACAGTTGTCTATAGTTCCGTAACATTGACAAAATTGGGTGAGAAATGATTTATTTGTATTCTCGTTTTCCTGCATGTTTGTTTAGTGTTGTTTAATGAGTATCTAGTTCATACACTATCCTTTTCAAATGTGTTGGTCCTTGCATGTTTCAAGTATAATATGATATTTGGGATCTTCCCTAATGATGTTGTCTCCTATTACCTGTGTATATAACAGACAGAGAATGCAATCGCATAACCCTTATGTTGTGTTATACCCAAGAAATTATAAAATTTTGATCATAGTGGTACCGGCTTGTTTTTACTGTTTGACATATCCATTATGCTATTTTACTGTAACATATATTGATATTATGAAAACGATATGTAATGATATACAAACAACCTACGTAATGATGCCATGCTGCCTTTATTAATTTGAAGGATGTACATTTCTTCTGGCATTGTCATTTACAATACAAATTGTGATTCATTGATAATTTAAAAGTAACGACAAAACCGTCAAAAATAATTACCAAAGTTTCTTACCTGAAGTACAAAAAAATAAATAGTGCAATGATCAGTGTGATCGTAGAGACTATGAAGCCTAGGTTATAGATAATTCGTCGTGAGTACTCATGGACAGACTCCTGAAATGAGAAATAACATATATTAAAAATTCTGAAAGTCCGTATCAAAATGAAATTTATTCAGAACTAAAAATCAATCATTTTACTTCTACATGAGGGAGTTTGGTAAGAGTCAGTAGTTAGCCGTTGAAATTTCAAAGAATGAAAAATTTGTCAACCCTTTCCAACTTCTGTTAGTTCTATTGATAACTGCATAGGGTGATCCAATATGTTCACGTAAGAACAAAACAGTCAAGAGTTTTTAGCCCTATAATGTCATAACGTGTTGACATCAAAATACTTTTTTAAATAAAGGAATAGCCTCGATAAGAGCCCTTTCTGGCCCAAAAATATAGAACTTTTACAAATTTGTTTAAAATGTAAACTTTTAGCTATTAATTTGAAAGTAGAATATTTTTGTAGGTACTAGCATCATTAATTCAAGCAAAATTACCGAAATCTTCACAATTTTTGCATTTGTGATAATTTTTTGAGGGATTGTGTCTAAAATGGAAGTGGCCGCACATGTGTTCAGTCTTAATATCTTAGTATATGTTGTATTTGATAATAATACATGACATATATAAAGGTTGGGACTGAACACGAATGTGGTCACTAACATTTAAGACAAAAACCATCTGAAAAGTGACGTTTTTTGGCATATTTGATAGATTTTTCATATTTAAGCTTGAATAAGAGCGTCTTCAATGACTAAACAGTTCAAATATTTTACATAATCTTATTGAATCGACTGAAATAGACACTTAAGTGTTTAAAAAATGGTAAAAATCTTTCTTCAGATGTACTTCAAATTTAGGCCAAGCTAAGCCTTTATCGGACGTTCTCCTTTTGGTAGACTTATATATTAGCCAAGGAATTTGACGAAATCGCATTTGCTGTAAAGCTTAATTCTAAACCTATCCTAACTTTCAATTTCTAGATGTAAATCAAAACAGTTTTTCTCAAGAAGCTCTTGCATGAAATGTGCCTAATACGAGTAACAGAACAAATCAACGAGAAGCAGATCTCAGCATCTTCCTATATGAATGTCGACTGTCTGCACCAAACGTAACAAATATGTCGTTAAGTGATGCAAGTTTCTGCGAACTTTTTGTTGTGATCTTATTGGGTTTTACTTTTACAAATAATGACTTGCCCCCTCCTAACACAGAATACATGTAGTTGTACCTATATGGTGGTTATTCTTTTTTTATGAAGTAGTAAGACTAATTCTTTCAATCGGTCTAAAAAGAGGAAAATTGTTGTGATTTGGTGAAATGTTTTTATACAATTTCACAAGGCAAGGAGGAGAGCTTTGTGTTAACTTTAAGAAATCTTAACAAATCCCCAATTGATTTGGCCTTTTAAATGCCTTGAATTGAGCGCCACTGGTGAGTATTATGAAGACAAGCGTCTGGTGCACTAAATTATAAACCTGGATTCTATGAGGAGTTTTCATACCAACCCTAGAATATGCATGTTTACAGAAAACATGACTTATGGGTTTAATTGCTGATTGGAAGGAAGTTTTTTCGAGCACTTTTCAGATCCAGCATTTAAACATTATATGAAAGGATACTCGTGTAGCTGAGGTATCCAGTAGAGTGAAGGTAAACCAAGTTCTCCATCTTTAGCTGAAGAAATTCTAGAGGAATGCAAAATATACCTATGATTGTCCAGCACTTCCTTATCAATATGTTGTAGTATGTGTCGGTTTTCAACGTGAGTACCAATTAATACCCCATTCACTTATGGAGCAATTCATATCGTGCAATTTATACGCACATAAATTGTTAGGGTTTTGTTTGGGCGCAGACAACAACATATTTTTCAAAGAGCCGAGACTCGTAACTATCATCGATAAGCTCTTTGGAGATAAATATGTATTATTAGGTTTTTTTTCTAATTTCAATTTGTATCAAAGAGCTTAAAGCTACAATTCATTCCGAAAGAGTATCTACGCCTTCCTTTTCAAGTTATATTAGATGTAATAAAATCAAAAGTGTGTAAATATAAAAGATTTAATCTTTTGGAATGACATTAATTCTATTTCGGTCAAATCGATGCAACAGTTAAATGATAGAAATATGTTTGCAATACTTAAAATGTTTCTTTTTAGTATCCGTTTATCCAGAGGCGAAAGATACCAAAGGGACATTCAAACTCATAAATCGAAAATAAACTGACAACGCCATTATAAAAAAAGAACAAAATACAGTATACAAAACACAGCACAGAGACTGAGCAACAGGAATCCAACCTAAAATCGGGGTTTGTCTCAGGTGCTCTAGATGGGTAAGCAGATCCTACTCAGGCCACATATGGCACCCGTCGTGTTGCTCATGTAAGTACAAACCTGGTGATAAGTCTAATTCGGTAGGTCTCATTCGGGAAAAGAGGGACGGGATTGTGGTTACAACAATTGGAACATATCCGTCGTCATATGTGAAACATATATTTCATAACGGTTATCAAACTCGTGATGGCGTCCATCAAATTTTCGATGGGATGATTTCAACTTCACCACTTGTAACTTTTGGTTTAATAGCTTCCTTGTGAGCAACTACTCTATGAAAAAAATCATGATGGGAAATGCAAGTCCTAGAATATCGTATCAACTAGAAGATATATACTCCATATAACAAGGTTACTGCGACCATGTTGGACACTATATCCGCTGTATTTTTAAAGGTATCTGATAGATAATTGAGGAGTGGTAATTTATCTTGTGTGTTTACCATGTTAAGAAAAATGTATCGAAGGATTATTATGTATTTAAAACTGATGCAAAAACTGAAATGTCAGCAGTTTCTACCATTTCCAAATAAGGGCCATTATTTGGCTACTTATATTGCAAAAGAAGTAAAATTTCAAATCTTTTCAAAAAGAATATTTTATTTTATTTTATTTTATAGAAAGGATACTATGTTATTGGAAAATTACTGTAGAGTAAAAAGGTTATTTGTTATGGAATTGTGTATCACAGAGATGTTTCAATTGATATATTTACAAAAAACTTGCCATTTACTAAATATGATTGAGTGTTGGTTGCTTAACGGTCAGTGGGAAACATTTCATGGATGTTCAGAACGAGCCGTTAACTATAAAGTTTTTGTTAATATTAAGTACGAGCAACATCGAACAACATAAGAATTTTGCACTATCATCATCGTCTATGTATTAGATATTTTGGAGTAGGTTTCTGTAAATATCTTAATCTCCATAAAAATCACCAAAGGAGACAAGTGTGTTTTATGTTAAAGTTCTAAGGATGAAATGGAAATTACGTTGATTATCATACCTCTTAATTTACGGAAAGTAGTTTCTTTCTTTGCTCTTTGATTCAATATCAACATTTCACTGGCTAAAGAAATTATATTAATATCAGTGGTATTTCATCATATGACTGTGCGCATTTTAAATTCTATTGCCGCCCTTGGTCGCCTTGTTTGGAAATTCAAAATTTATGTATTGACTAGTCATGTGTCTTTTCGTCTTGGTCTTAAAGTGAATATGTCCTACAAACTGATAGATAATCAGCAAGCATTGACATATTACGTCAATGGACAGCACAATATTATCAGTTGTGTGAATTCTACTATTGTACTTCAAGATGCGACTACTGTTATCAAAGTAAAAAATGTGTACTCACGTAAATTTCACCTCAAGTTATATGTGAAACTCACGTGAAATCAGTTCACGTGAAATTGACATAATTTTTTTTCGCGTGAAATTCAAGAGAATGACATCAAAATTTTTTAATTAAACTAAAGTTATGAAAATATAACTTTTTTTTTAGTAGAATTCACGTGAAAATTTCCATGATATTCATGTTTATCTCAATTCACGTGAAATTCGCATGAACAATTTTAGGCGAGTGTCACGTATAAGCAAAATTTACCTGTGTATACAAATATATAGTTTCGAATTTTAAAATAGTTTTGCCTTATATTGGCGTTTATATTATTAAAGCTATCATCAATTCCCGAACGCCTCCCTATGATTATGGAATGTTAAGTGTCATCGAAACATCGTCATCGAAACATCTATATCTTTTATAATTTGACATACATTAACTGTAAAATAATGAATTTTGGAAATTAGGACAAACGGCATTATTTAAGTCATTTGGCAGGAAAAAATTTAAAAAAACAGGAGTTAGTTGCATAAAAAGTTAACACACATGTTCAATATCACATTTAGCGTTGAAATAAGTTATGAATAGTTTGGAATGGTCAAAGACGGAGAATAACTCTTTGACCGCTGACAGAAATTGCAAAAATCTCATAAAATGAAATCTAAATTCCATACCAAAAAAGTATGTGGTACATTGCAAATAAATACCGAAAATGGTTTGTGAGATAAAGGATAGCTTCGTACAATTTATGTTCATCACACAGAAGACCTTATCGCCATAATAATACAAGTCAGCTAAGCGTTGCACTTCCATACATGACAACCAAACATGTACAACCAACGGAATGAATCCAATAGAAAAGTTAGGACAAAAGAATGGAAATGATTTATTACTTGTCACAAACAACTTGTTCTTAATAACTTTTTTCAATAAAATGTTGAACTTAATAGCCATTCAAAATCACATTTTGCTGTCGAACATATGATTTGTTTCTTGACTTTGTTATAGGTTAACATTCTGGTAAAATTTGAATAATAAATCTCTTAAATTTGTCATTGTAACATACCAAAAATACATTTTTAATGACGAAATATAGTTGTTTAACTTCAGTTTTTAACATTCTATTATCAATAAACTATGATTTACTTCGATATTAATTTGTTTCCTTTTTTCTTTGACAGCTAAAATCGTGTTTTTCAGTAATATAACGCTTTTGAATAGGCCTTAATTTGAAAAATTGATACTGGATTTTTATTCATGACTTTTTACACAATTTGTATATGATTTAAGTTAATGAAGCAAGGAAAAAAGTAAGGTACAGCGATTCAACCGTTTTAATGATCCAGTTGGTTTTATTGGTAAACGGCAGGAAGAAAAGTTTAAAAGCCATTACTCAGAACGAGGGAATATTTCTTACTATAGCCCTGAATAATATAGTGTCTAATATGTATTTCCACACTAATTCTGTTCTCAATAAGTCATTGCATTAGCCTTCAGTCATTCGTTGTGATATTTCACCAGGACAACTGGTCTCAGGTTACCAGATTTAACTTGCTATTTTGAAATATCCCGTTCCACACTTTATATTCCAGTTGATATCTATAAGGGAGCTTATTAGTGGCCAACTTAACTTACGGCATGTTTTATTATTTTATTTGTCAAGCTATTTTTGGGAAAATAAGAGAATGTAGGTTTTACATTCTATTCAAAGTCTAGATGGTGTTAATATTTGATACAAAGGATGGAAACTGTAGAAATTAAAAAAAACTTGATTATGACTCCTGTTTGTCAATACAGAACATATTTTGATTCTATCTCAGAAAAACCAGCAAATCTCTAAGAAACTAAGTGTATATGAGATCTAATAAACGAGACTTCTTAATGAACATTTGCGCACCTGGTTTCAAAAAAGATGTCACAATAAAGTGCAATCTGTGGTATCTCATTTCAGTACTAATGGAATACAAATTTTGTATTTTGCTTTAAGTGGTCTTGATCACGGCATCTGATAAAGGTTAATATAATATTTACCGTAGCCACCCTTTATTCATTTCAGATAGCAGGAAGTTATTTGCAGTGTATTCTTTGAACATGCAGTATGTTAATAGATACAAAGAGAGCATGCAAGTATTGATTCAAATACATATGATTATGATATTTTTGCATACTCCGAAGGGTTTCACCTTTAATATACATGTGTAACAGTACTTACAACTCCATTGTACAAGTCTTTTGAGTTTGTATCCGTCAAACAACTGTTGTAGTCAGATTTCAGTGCCCATGTACCGTTAGTTGTACATAATCGTGTTGCGTTTTCTGTAAAAATAGTACTTTTAAATTAGTTACGTTACTAAATAGTTATCAAAGGTACCAGGCATATAATTTGATACGCCAGACGCGCGTTTCGTTTACACAAGACTCGTCAGTGACGATCAGATCAAAATAGTTAGAAAGCCAAAACAAGTACAAAGTTGAAGAGTATTGAGGACCCAAAATTCCAAAAAGTTGTGCCAGTGAATACCTGGATGGGATTTGAAAGTCTTAAGTTACAGAATCTTAGCCACCAATTTTAATGGGGAATCAATAAAATCAAGTAGTTTCATTAAATTTCTAGCCCCTTAGTTTCCTGAACATTCAAACCTTTATTTCAGTACTCCTTGTTCCTTTGAATTTTGTCTGTTGCAAAACTGAACCGAAATGTTTTATGTGTTATATAAATGCTTTTTAAAACTATTTACAACTGAACGTCAAGCCAGCTATGAATGTTTGTAACAATCTTTTGTAAAATAAACTGAAACAAATTAACTGGCCCGATTCAAGCAATAAATGCAGAAGTGCTTGCAATAATTTATTGTAATGATGTTTCATTAATGAGAATCTTACTTATTTTGACAGGTCAATTTACATTACAACCATAAAGATCTCGAGAGGACCTCTAACTGTCTGTAACTGGGGGACAGGTTATCTGTAGATGAAGTGTTTATTAGATCTAACTAAGGCAAACCACCATTGAATGCGTAGTATAAGTCCTGTTGTTATTTTGTCATAACACTCGTCTTTTTAACAAGCGTAAAATGACTTCAAATAATGTTCCTTTCGTTCATGTTTATGAAAGTGATTAATATTTTCTGGATCATTCTCAATAGTTTTCGTCTTAGGAACGAATAAATCAGCTATGCTATGACAATCAATTTCCTTTCGCTCCCTTTCATCGTCAAGTTAACAAGAAAGATGGTATAACTACTGTTTTATCCCTAATTATCTACGTGTGATGATTCAATCTATATCGATGTTCAATGTAATTTGTCGCTTAAGTACGCTTTGTATCAAACTTATTCGCAATTCTCGTTTGTGATGTATTCCCAAAGTCTTAAGTATAAGATAGCAATTTTCTTTTAAATGAAAGATCTTACGGCTGTCTTTAAAACTCCTTGCCAAAATACATCAGTTTAAGGTAGAAAAAGAATGTGATGTAGTTAATAAAATACAAAAAAATGTTCTTACAGAGAAGATGTTTTTCATTGATGGTACCCTCTGATTGTCTTCTATTGATAGTATTTCTGATTGTTTTGCATTGACGGTACCTTTCGATTGTCTTGCATTGATGGTACCTCCAAATTATCGTTCATTGATGGTTCCAGATGGTCTTAAATTAATGCTACCCTCCTATTGTCATACATTGATGCTACTCTCCAATTATCTTGCATCGATAGTATCATCTGATTGTCTTGCATTGACGGTATCCTCCGATTATCTTGCATTGACGGCACCCTCCGATTGTCGAACATTGACGATACCCTCCAATTGTCGAACATTGACGATACCATCCAGTTGTCGTACATACATTGATGCTATCCTTTAATTATCGTACATACATTGGTATTATCCTTCGATTGTCAGAAATATATTGATGGCACATTCTGATTGTCGGAAATACATTGATGGTACATTCCGATTGTCCTTTAATAAATTGTTTTTCTGTTCGATTGTCGTACATATATGATATTCGCCGATGGTACTCTCCGATTGTGGTATATGCATTAATGCTATCTTCCGCTAGTCGTACATACATTGATAGTATTCTCGATAGTCGGACAAACATTGATGATACCCTCCGCTTGCCTTAAGTACATTTCTGGTAGTCTTCGATTGTGATTGTCGTAGATTAGTGGTATCTGCCGATTGTTGTACATTAATGACACCCTACGATTGTTGAACATTGATTGTATCTTCCGATTGTCTTGCACTGATGATATCCTATTGTCTTTGATTGATGATATCCTACGATGGTCTTGAATTGATGGAACCCTGGGATTATCGTTAATTGATGGTATCCTTCGATAGTCCTACTTTGAAGGTACCCTCTGATGTCTTGTATTGATAAAACACTTGAATTGTCGTAAATTGATGGTATCCTCAGATTGTTACAAACGTTCATTGATGGTACCCTCCGATTGTCTTGCAGTGATGAAATCCTACGATTGTCGTACATTGATGGTATCCGCAGACAGATTGTAGTTCATTGATGGTACTCTCCGATTGTCTTACATTGAAAGAACACTAGGATTAACGTACATTGACGGTATTCTCAGATTGTCGTACATTGATGGTATCCTCAGATTATCGTTCATTAATGGTACCATCCAAGTATCTTGCATTGATAGAACACTAGGATTGTCGTAAATTGATGATATCCGCAGATCGTAGTTCAGTGATGGTACCCTCCGATTATTTTGCATTTAAAGAACACTATGATTATTGTAAATTGATGTTTTACTCAGATTGTCGTATATTGATAAAATCCTCCGATTGTCGACCATTGATATCCGCCGACAGATTGTAGTTCATTGATGGTACTCTCCAATTGTCTTACATTGAAAGAACATAAGGATTATCGTACATTGATGGTATCATCAAATTATCGTTCATTGGTGGAATCCTCAGATTGTCGTTCATGTGTGGAATCCTCAGATTGTCTTGCACTGATAGAACACTAGGATTTTCGTACATTGGTGGTATCCTCAGATTGTCGCACATTGATGGTATCCTCAGATTGTCGTACATTGATGGTATCCTCAAATTGTCGTACATTGATGGTATCCTCAAATTATCGTTCGTTGGTGGAATTCTCAGATTGTCGTTCATTGGCGGAATCCTCAGATTGTCTTGCACTGATAGAACACTAGGATTTTCGTACATTGGTGGTATCCTCAGATTGTCGTACATTGATGGTATCCTCAGATTGTCGTACATTGATGGTATCCTCAAATTATTGTACATTAATGTTATCCTCAGATTGTCGTATATTGATGAAATCATCCGATGGTCGACCATTGATATCCGCCGACAGATTGTAGTTCATTGATGGTACTCTCCAATTGTCTTACATTGAAAGAACATAAGGATTATCGTACATTGATGGTATCTTCAAATTATTGTTCATTGGTGGAATCCTCAGATTGTCGTTCATTGGTGGAACGTCAGATTGTCTTGCACTGATAGAACACTAGGATTTTCGTACATTGGTGGTATCCTCAGATTGTCGCACATTGATGGTATCCTCAGGTTGTCGTACATTGATGGTATCCTCAAATTGTCGTACATTGATGGTATCCTTAAATTATCGTTTATTGGTGGAATCCTCAGATTGTCGTTCATTGGCGGAATCCTCAGATTGTCTTGCACTGATAGAACACTAGAATTTTCGTACATTGGTGGTATCCTCAGATTGTCGTACATTGATGGTATCCTCAGATTGTCGTACATTGATGGTATCCTCAAATTGTCGTACATTGATGGTATCGTCAGATTGTCGTACATTGATGAAACTATCTGATTGTCATACATTGATGATACCCTCCGATTGTCGTACATTGATGGTATCGTCACGTTGTCGTACATTGATGGTATCGTCAGATCGTCGTACATTTATGGTATCTTCAGATTGCCGTACATTGATGATACCCTCCGATTGTCGTACATTGATGGTGTCCTCAGATTATTGTACATTAATGTTATCCTCAGATTGTCGTATATTGATGAAATCATTCGATTGTCAACCATTGATATCCGCCGACAGATTGTAGTTCATTGGTGGTACTCTCCAATTGTTTTACATTGAAAGAACATGAGGATTATCGTACATTGATGGTATCCTCAAATTATCGTTCATTGGTGGAATCCTCAGATTGTCGTTCATTTTTTGTACCATCTGATTGTCTTGCACTGATAGAACACTAGAATTATCGAACATTGGTGGTATTCTCAGATTGTCGTACATTGATGGTATCCTCAGAATGTTGTACATTGAGGATACCTCCGATTGTCGTACATTAATGGTATCGTCAGCTTGTCGTACATTGATGGTATCTTCAGATTGTCGTACATTGATGGTATCCTCAGATTGCCGTACATTGATGGTATCCTCAGATTGTCGTACATTGATGATACCCTCCAATTGTCGTACATTGATGAAACCATCTGATTGTCGTACATTGATGAAACCATCTGATTGTCGTACACTGATGATACTCTCCGATTGTCGTACATTGATGGTGTCTACAGATTGTCGTACATTGATGGTATCGTCAGCTTGTCGTACATTGATGGTATCCTCCGATTGTCGTACATTGATGATACTCTCCGATTGTCGTACATTGATGGTATCCTCATATTGTCGTACATTGATGATATCGTCAGATTGTCGTACATTGATGGTATCTTCAGATTGTCGTACATTGATGATACCCTCCGATTGTCGTACATTGATGGTATCGTCAGATTGTCGTATATTGATGGTATTCTCAGATTGTCGTTCATTGGTGGTGCCATCTGATTGCCGTACATTGATTGGATGCTCAGATTGTCGTACATTGATGGTATCATCAGATTGTCGTATGTTGATGGTATCCTAACATTATCATACATTGATGGTATCCTTACATTATCGTACATTGATGGTATCCTCAGATTGTCGTACATTGATGATACCCTCCGATTGTCGTACATTGATGGTGTCTACAGATTGTCGTACATTGATGGTATCCTCAGATTGTCGTACATTGATGGTATCCTCAGATTGTCGTACATTGATGGTATCAGCAGATTGTCGTACATTGATGGTATCCTTGCATTATCGTACATTGATGGTATCCTCAGATTGTCGTATATTGATGGTATACACAGATTGTCGTATATTGATGGTATCCACAGATTTTCGTACATTGGTGGTATCCTCAGATTGCCGTATATTGATGGTATCCTCAGATTGTCGTTCATTGATAGTATCCTCAGATTGTCGTATTTTGATGGTATCCTCAGATTGTCGTTCATTGATAGTATCCTCAGATTGTTCTACATTGATAGTACCCTCAGGTTGTCGTTAATTGTTGGTATCCTCAGATTGTCGTACATTGATGGTATCCTCAGATTGTCGTATATTGATGGTATTCTCAGATTGTTTTACATTGATGGGATCCTCAGATTGTCGTACATTGATGGTAACAACTGAATGCCGTACATTGATGGTATCCTCAGATTGTCGTACATTGATGGTACCAACTGAATGCCGTACATTGATAGTATCCTTACATTATTGTCATTGATATTACTGACCCTGGCTGAGCATTATAGATTTATGTCATTAGAGAAGAAGTGAAGTTGTTAACCGGTTGTTAGTTGTGAATTAATGTTAACCGGGTACTCCAAAAAAGCTTTAATGTTATTCATATTGATGCTGTCGTCTTGTTTTCTAACGTTTTATTGTTGTTGTTGCTACACTCCTGTTTTATTCTATCAAAAGTAATGAGATAAAAATCGTACAGGGTATTCCAGTTTCCTCTAATGGAATGTAAGGAATCGTGAAAATGTTTCAATTGAAAACATAAGGTACTTAAAACTTACGTGTGCTGTCTACTCCTTGCATATCCTGAGGACACTGTATAATAGCAAACTCTCCGACAAGAGTGGCAGGCCAACAAGACAGACCATCCCATGTCATATTACAGTAGCTGTTTCCATTATCTGACATGAAAAATAAGAATTAAATAAAAAGAGATCTGGGTCATACTTTAACGCGTCATAAACCCACCAGCACAACAACTCACACGGCTTCTAGAGGTCGACATAAATTAAATGAATAAAGACAAGGGTATGGCAAACTGTTAAATAGAAATCAAATCATACATTGTATATTTTTAACATTTCACTTTGAATTGTACTTTCCAGCAAACTATCACCAGTTAATGTTTGGGTCTAATAATTGTACTATTATAGCTTTATTCGAAATGTACTAGTTAATGTTAAGGTCTAATAATAGTACTATTATAGCTTTATTCTGAATGCACTGGTTAATGTTTAAGTCTAATAATTGTGCTATTATAGATTTATTCGGAATGTAAAAGACAACACTTCCTAAAATATATTAAGCTAGAAATTGTTTTGTTCTAACAATGTTTGTTTTTATTCAGTTTTCCTACTTGTAAAAGCATTATAAGCGAAAAGTGTACAAATAAAAAATATTGATAACCAAGGTGATACTTAAATATTGTACATCAGTTATATTCAATATATCATATGGCAGCAGGTATTGTTGTCTAATGACCGAAATATATATACGTTCCATAGTTCTTACATTTTCTAAACTGTTGACAATTGTTGGAAAATTGAATACATATTTCCATAATGAAACAAACGATTGTTATGGATGGTTATACTTTTGACTTCAAGTACATTTATAATTTGAATTTATAACATCAGACATCAGAAACATTTAAATTAGAATCGCGTACAACTGTTGTCTACATAAATATGTTATTTACATAAAAAGAATCCTACAATACATTATCCCTTCAACATATGGCGTATTCGGTAAAGTAGTTTATAAAAAGATGAATAAGTAATTAACTTCTAATGCGTTTTCATCTCATATATTAAAACAGTATATAAATATAAACTCGTCAGGCTTCTTCTATATATATATATATTGCTTTGTTTTAATAAGAGAAATAGGCAGTCGTCGGTAATAATGATAAAGTACCACATGTGAATGTTTCATAGAAGCGACTCTTATCACCTGCGGCAGGATGATTAAGTACTGCATGTGAGGTTTGTCACCTGTCGTAGATTTTAATTTAAATTGTTTATTTCATTGCAGCTATTGACTAAGTCAAGGTTTCTTTTATTTTCTTCATATCGAGGAATTCAAAGAAATACCATTAATCCTAATTTTAAAAGATTATGGAAATGTTTTACGATTTTTAAACGGTAACAGATAAGTGTTGCATACCTCGTATGAATCCTTTAAAAAGTTGACAAAATTAAAAGGATTTCTATCTTCAATAAAGATTGTTAGCCAAGAACTGTAACTACATTTTTTTTATCATATAGACTATTTGTATGCCACTGAGAAAGACCATAGATAATTTTTTTTAGAAAAACAAACAGACAAATTTAGCTGTATCCACATTTTGCTCATTCACTCTCCCGTGAATACAAATTGTTCTCGTTTTCCTTTTGCATTTTAATGATAGCATTATTATTTTTTGCAAAGTAACATACGTTAACTGAAAATTGTCTAAACTAAATGAACCTGAATTTGAATTCGTTTGTCATTTAATGATGCTTGTCTTGCTCGTCTTCCCTTATTGCTATTTTTTAGCGTAGGTTCATCTACAGTTTATCGTTTCTCTTTCTAAAATGGTGGCATTTATTTTCGTTACACATTAAATTTCTGGACCATGTGTTCTACGTTGTCGTCTTCAATTGTTTTCGGATGAGTTCGGTATTGGTGTGGTTTAATATGCTGTCCAGTATTTTTGGTGATCACGCTATCCTTTTTATGTAATTAAACGAAATCTGTAATATAATTTCTTATAATCATTCTTAGTTTGTTTTTGTACATTGGTTTGAAATACTTCTATATGACGAGCGTTTAGTCAAATCGAAATATTATTAGAAATGATGCCAATAAGTCCAACGTACAGCTATAGAAAAATTGTGTAGGAATAGTTAGAACAGCTGTATTTGTATCAACAGATAACATTATCTCAATGATCCTTCATCAGACCGATTGTAGTTAAAAAAACAGACTGCAGAAAAATCATCTGATTTTACAAGTGTTACCTATAAACTTTTAGTTTAAAAGGTTCTAAAACTTGAAATGACAGTTTGACTTTGTAGCATAATACATTTTATTGGTGAGCCATTTGTAATACCGTCCAAAACCAATTTAGTTAGGACACTTGATGGAATAATTGCTATTCTTGTCTTATCAAATATTGCTAGGTTAGAATCGATTAAATACCAAAAAGTAATTGCATTTCGGTTAACGAGCAGTTCGACTATTGTATGCTTTATTCAGACTGACTTAATTACAATAGTATATTTTTTGACAGTCTGCATTGACTAACTTGCATTATTATACTTCATGTCAAAATGCCAGATTTTAATTGGTTAATACGAGGGAGACAATTTTACTCTATCCCATGGCAAATACTCTATTACCTTTCACGGAGACGCTTGCTCAAGTGTGCGCTTTAATAAATACTGATGATTGGTATGTACAAGACGTCGTAGTTTATTACTTTGAATTTGAAATTTAATAGACAGTAATAAAAGAACATTCAGTATAATAAATTAAATAACACATATCTGAGAGGGTGATAGAGCAGATTGTTACCCCTCGAAAAGACATTGTCAACCTTGACTTCGCCTCAGTTGACAATGTTTTCTCGGGTTAATAATCTGCTCTATCACCCTCTCAGCTATGTGTTGTTTATATAGTGTGCTAGGTTAAGTTGATATTATTCTGATACAAATGTACTTAATATGATAATTGGTATCCAATTGAAGACGTGAAATCACCACGTGTTTTATATCAATCATGTACATTTAGCGGGGAAAAAAAGATGAAATTAATTTTATTTTTATTTAAAAGGCCTTTTTCCTGTGTTTGTTATAAAATCTTCGCGTCAATGTCATAAGGTTCTAGAAGGCCCTTTTCCCGTGTTTGTTTTACAATCTTCGCGTCAATGTCATATGGTTCTAGAAGGCTCTTTTCCCGTGTTTGTTATAAAATCTTCGCGTCAATGTCATAAGGTTCCAAATGGTCCTTTTCCCGTGTTTGTTATAAAATCTTGGCGTTAGTATCATGAGGTTCTAGAAGGCCCTTTTCCTGTGTTTGTTATAAAATCTTCACGTCAATGTCATAAGATTCTAGAAGGCCCTTTTCCTGTGTTTGTTATAAAATATTCGCGTTAATGTCATAATGTTCTTGAAGGCCCTATTCCCGTGTTTGTTATAAAATCTTGGCGTCAATGTCATAAGGTTCTAGTACAAAGTTTGCCAGTTTTGACTTTGTTCCCTAAAAAGGTATTATAATTTTTTGTGCATTTTTTTCCACTCACAGAATTGATATCTGAGAATTGATAAAACCACATATATAAAAAATAAAAAGTCTGTCAAATCATATACTAAACAGATTTTCCAGCATTTTGCAAATACTTATTGTAAAATAAAAGTCTGAATCAGCTTTAGATATTACTGAATAGGATATGACTTCAATAGAAATTGAATATTGTATATCATGGACTCCTTTAAAAAATAACATTGAAGGACACAAATGGTAATATGATATTGCTTGCATTTAAAAAAAAAGTTGATTAATTCCATAGACAAAAATTCATGTATATTCAAAACCAATACATAGCCTTTTCACTTTTGAAGTTTTAAGCGCAAACTTTGCCACATTATATGAAATTGTAGCTAACTATAAGTATCCACAGTTTGAATCGATGGTCAGAAATATTACACGCAAGGAACACCAATGTAGTGGTTACTTATATACTTATGAAAAAAGGTCCAGGAGAGTTATAGTCTTATCTCGTTAAATAGATAATGGGGGTAAGTGGCCATATTTCTTAGATTATTAAGTACATCACTGTATTGCAGAAGCTGTATATTATGATAAATAACCTCGGTGAAATTGCTATTCCATTGCATTTAGTTTATTTAAGCATTAGTGACAGAATCAATTTGCAATAATTCTACAAGTGAGAACTTGCTCTCAAAAGACCTTCTCTCCACAACTGACCTTAATTCCTGGATCAACATTAATAGCTTCTAGATCTGTTATGGCAATAATGCTTGTTATTTATCTGATTAGCTTTCTTTAATAATGGGTTTCGGTACAGTGTATATTAGTCTTATTCATTTACTGATATAATCAGACATGTTTATATATGCATTTAGCAACATTATACTTTTGCGTTTGAAACGGATATAAAGGAAAACCATAAGACAACAACCCAATATGGATTTAAGGGTTTTCAACAATTAACCAGCGTCTTCAATTCTATAGTAAGCTCTAACTCAGTCTAAATACGAGACTGTTACAAATATCTAATTTTGTATTATGCTTAATGTGAGATTTGTGTAACCAGATAATTCATTTTCCTCTCCAAAAATATTTCTGTTAAACGCATTTTTTAAATTAGCCATGATAATGCACTTTTTTAAGGAAGTAGGATAAACATCTCTACAAGAACCATGTTCTATTGTAGAAACATGATTATATTCCATCAAATGCATTTTATCTGCATTTCTGATGATTCAGTCATATTGTTGTTGAACGCTTCTTATGAGCTTTCCTTTCTTTCTGTGTCCGTGCAAATAAATATTGCTTTAATAGTCGGTTACAAAAAATGATCAATTCATCACATCAGACAATTCCATAGATAAGTAAGACATTTCCAGTCACAAGATTGAAATGAATTATATGCAATAAATGTGTGTGATCAGACGCTCTGCCCGTTAGTAAATCCCGGAAAATGACCACCAGACACTAACCAATCAGTAGAAATTTACTTGCACGGAATATATAAAAATAGTTCTAATCAATCTAAATTCGTTACCTAAACAAGCTTTTATTGTACGTTTTGCTATTAAGGGCCTTCATAGCTAAGTATACGATATGGTATTTGTTGATCACTGAAGGTCACTGAAGGTCGGACTGTGGCCAATTA